AAAAAATGCCTTCACTAGATGACATTGCATCTAAATGGCTTTTGTTCAACCTTCTCTGCCACACGGTAGGTTCAGCAATGCGCTCCTACTCATGTTTGATTGTGTCATGTCCCACTGGAAGAAAGCTTCAGTGTAGCCTAAAGTGCCTGATCCTGCTTAATCTTGGAAGCTAAGCAGGATCTGGTATGGTTAGAATGTGAATGGGAGAGTTGCATGGAGCAGGGGGTTAGGCCTGGGCCTTCTATGCCCCTTACAACTGTACGATTCCTTGAAGAAAGGAATGGAGCACTAAGACTCACCCAACACCTGCATAACCCAACACTTGCTCCAGATCTGTTAGCAGCCCAGGTAAGTCCAGGCCCTCAGAGCTGACCATCATGAGGACATCACCCTTGGAGGACAAGGACTGTGTCTCAAAGGTGGAGGCAAAAATCTGCAAGCCCACAGGAGAGAAGGTACCTGAAAGACAGGAACCGAGGAGGAATACTAGACTGAACGAGAGGCCGCCTTTACAGAAAAAGGAGGAGGCTTGGAGGCTTGCTTATCATGCTGCCCCAGAGATCAGCACCCACAGGCGGTGCAAGAGTTCCAAATGGGATAGGAACTAAGAACTTGGTGCTAATCAAAAAGCCCTCTAATGTAGAAAATAGGCAAATATGTTGGCCTTAAAGACTGTATGCAGTGCTAGGTGGGAGGTTCCTCCCTGAAGATTTTGTTCCTCAGGTGGCCAGACCTGGCTTTTTGGATGAAGTTTATCCTGAAGAAGGGTGGCACAGACTTTCAGCAGCTGTTGGTCCGGCAGCCAGTGGAAGCCCTGAGACCCCTAATGAACATAATCCTAGGAAACTGCCAACAGGCCTCTGGGAGATTTCAAGGGGTTTAATTCCTGAAAGCAGAATGCAGAGGCAAGTTGTGTGGCATGAGGAGGAGGACCACGTTATGCTACTGAAGCCACTTTAGGGCTAAAGGTTGCAGGAAGCAGCTTAGGGCTTTTACAAGGGCTTACATTGTTTAAGCTGGTTTAAGGCTTTAGACCAATTAACAACCTTTGTGTCTTAGGGTTTAAGCATTTAAACATCAAAGCATTTTAGAGCCATTTGGAAAGAAAATATAAATGTTTATTGGACTGCTAATCAATTAAAGCATTTCAATATCTCAGTACATGCCATTTTTAAGAATATTAAATTTTGATAGTAATTTCATTCTGAAATACCAATGCATAATGTATTGTTTGTGAGGTTATCTTCCAAGCATTCACCTCTGAGGCATAATTCTCCAATATGCCCATGACCCATTTCTCCTCTAACTGGAAGTGCTCTTTACATGCTGCAGGAATGTATTTGCATAAACAAATCTTATACAATATTATATTCAGTTTGGATGCAAAGTGAAATTAATTATCAACAGTCTCATAAAATATCCACTGACAATCCGATTAAAGTAAACTATTTGTGGTGAGACAATCTTAAGTCCTTCATCCTGTTTATACCAACACATTGGCTTGATGTAGTTAGTGAACTCTATGAATCCCTACTGAAAACATGCTATAGCTGGAGATCTAAATGTGTGTAATAAAGCCAGGTTTTAAAAATAATAACAAACTTGTACATTTCTAGAGAAAATGATGAAGTGAGAATGCAAAATGTTGGCAAGTATTTTACTGTTTTAGTCATTGCTGGACTGGAACAGGGCTGGGTTCCTGTGTTCGGGAACATAGAGCAGAAACAGCCGTCCCTTCTGCTCTTTGACTTAAGATGCTTTTACACTATGGGATGCCCCCTGGGATGCCAGTCACAGCCTTCAGTTTAGAAGAGCTGAGCAGAGCTATCAAGGACAGAACATCTTGTAGAACATTCATTCATAGGGTCGCCATAAGTCAGAGATGACTCAATGGCAGGTAACAATAACGAAGACTATGGGCTGGTTGCGATACTTCTTTGGATGGAAGGGAACTTTTTGATCCAACCCATCTCTTCCAAATCAATGGTTATAGTGTCCAAAGAAGAAGCTCTTCCCTGCAACATCCTTCTCTTTGGAGAGTTTAGATTTACTGCTGTCACTTTGCTAGCTTTGCTTTCTGCCCAGTGTTTTCTTCCTTGAATGCATGGTTTGCGGATGACTGAGTGACAATTTCACTTTGCTTCTTCACAAATGTGAAGAAGCATTCTGATATACACTATATGGTTGATGAAGAACCATTTTATGATGATTTTCATTATTATTGCAGCCGTGATAGCCTGCTATTTTCCCCTCTTGTGATGAGCCCAAGGTGGCTTACATTGCTCCATGCTTCCTAAAACAGCTTTCATCCAGGGTTCTCAAGTTGTGGAGGAAAGATCTACCCACAAAGTATACAAATCTCTTATCTTTTCAAACATTACCTAGAGCTTTCACTGCAGTCTGCCAACTTAGGATGCAAAACAATTACGTGCAGGTGAGCCAATTTAAACAAATAGTATCTGAATTGTTCTGATGATGATATGGATAGGGACATATTGTTTGGCTATGTGTGTTACTATGCATGGGAATTGCATCCTTTAGTAATTATGGTAATCCAGATTGGCTGTGCCCATTTTTTCTCTCTCTTGGCAATATTTGTTCTGCTCCAGCTCAGATTATCTCCTACAGCAAATTCTTGTCTGTCTGTCTGTCCATCCGCCTGTCTTTCTTGTTATATATTTCCTGACAACAAGCAAGAAACATAAGACTGCTTAGAAAAGTCTCTGTAGGTTTTCAACTGTATTTTTAAAGGAAAAGCAGACAGATTGCCGCAGAATGCCCCAGCAGATAGTTGAGAATAGCTGCTGATGTGAAAAAATGTTAATGAATTCCTGGAGCACCTGTTGCAGAACCAATATTTAGTTTCAGCTATTCAGTGTTGTGTCTAGATTGTGGGCACATTTCTAGCTAACCAAAAGCCTGATATAAATGAGGGGAAATTCTTCTTCCACATCTTAAGTTGTATCATGGCAAACATCCAATTATGGTGCTAGAAGAGGACTGTTTTACTGTTTATTTCAGCCCCTGGATCAGGTCTGGGTAGAAAGTAAATTTCCAAATGGTTTGGACTTCAGCTCCCAGGTTTTGCACTATTGGCAATGATAGTAGGGCATCTGAGCATTAAAGCTCCAGACATCTGAAGATTTACCTTCTACCTTCTACCATGTTAAGTCGGACCTTTAAAAAATGGTGTCTAAGAAGGTTCTAGAATTTGCAGCACTTTGGAGACAAGTATTTCACCATTCACCATTTCACTAGCCACCTGGTCCCTTGCCATTCTAGCAATCTCTGTCAGTGTAGCACTCATATTGTAGAAGAAGATGGTTTGTAGGAAATTGTGATTTCCCTTGAATTCTTCCTGTAATTCATGTATAACATGTAGGAAAATATGTTTTGTACTCTTGTAACAAGTATGTACTACTTGTACAATAAACTAATTGTCTGATAAAGACTTCATCTAATTCTAGAGTGTATTTGTCCAATAATATATATGATACTTTATAAAGGTGTGGCAGTTTTTAAGTAAATAAATTAATGTATGGACTTGTATATTGTTTCCCTGTAACTCCTGCCTTTGCTTTAAAATGTGCTAGATATTTGTCTGTCTGTAATCTAAGTATTATTTCTTAACTTCCTCTGTGTCTGATGAAAGTTCTCAAGCTGCAGCCTTCTCAAAGATGTAATTAGCTTACTGCATAGTGGTATGAATATACAGCATAGCAGTCTTTCTGCAGCACTTTCCTATTACCCTTGTTAAGTGAAGCATGAAAATGAAGTAGAGCAAATGCGGGCATGGTATCAACAGCACTGATTAATTGCAAAACCTCCGCCTTGTGCTTAAAAAAGCTTGTCTGCATTTAAAAGAGAACACGACTTTCAGCAGGTTATTGCCTGCCTGCTTATCTAGCTGCATGCTCCCTATTATGCTGGTCAAATCCTTTTGTAGCAATCTTTGCCACAGTATTTAATTTCGTCGTGACATGACATTAAGACAGAAGATTAACTACATGGCACGTTTGCACAGAAGTAAATTGTGTTCAGTAGGACTCCCAGAAAAATTTGCTAGGATTGTAGCCTTCTATGCACCCTTATGTCAGTAAGCTCCACTGAATAAAGTGGCACAGATTTTTTAGCAGCATGCATAGGGTTGGGTTATAAGGAAGTGAAAAAGGTCTGCCCATGGAAACAGGAATTTGAATGGAACCACTGATGCCCAATGAAACTGTGACTAGAAGTCCCTGCATTTTGATTAGAAGGAAGGGAAATATATTATTCTTAAGCATGTGGTGTTGCATAGGTAAACCTGGAAGAAGAAAAGCAACTGGATAAATGATGTGTACGGCTTGTATGTGAAGATAAACAAGACATGGAACTGTAGAGTTCAGCTTTTATCAGTGGACCTTGACTCAGGCCAACCCTAAAATCCAAAGTGTTTGGATTGCATAGTAATTGCATATTGATTCATCCCGTGTTGCACTGTAGCATGCAAACTCTTCCCAGATGAGTCATGATGAGTCACTCTAAGAAGGAGCATTCAAAATACGTGGATTAGATTTTCATACAACCTGGTGGCACACCAAATCCTTCTATAGCAGAAATGCAGAAGAAATCAGTGTGCTTGGTAAGATAGATGTGCTTGATGCATGGTAAACACACATACCTCTACCCTACCCTATTATTAGTTACATGCTAGAACAGTTTTGATACATATGGGGATTGGAGTGTGTGGCAACAGTTCCCAGAATACTTAAGGTATCTGCCTTCTTGGCCGATTCCTTCAACCATCAATCCCAACTGTCGTGTGCTCTATGCAGAGAGTGGTTGTACAGAAACGGTTGTACATTTTTTTCTGTCTACAAAGACATCCATCTACACTTTGTGATTGTCTGAAGCATCTCTCCTTTTCTAGGTACTTGGATGATGGAAGCTGGATATAGTCCACCAGGCTGGACCTGCTGCGAAAGATGAGTTTATGAATGTGTTTCCTTTCTCTGTTCCAGCTCATCAGCGATGGTGGTGTGGTCTATGCAGAAGCACTCTGGGCTCATGTCACAATGGATGACCAAGAGCTAGGCTTCAAGGCTGGAGATGTGGTTGAAGTAATGGACGCCACTAACAAAGAATGGTGGTGGGGCAGGATAATGGACAGTGAGGGCTGGTTCCCTGCCAGCTTCGTACGGGTAAGAACCTATGCGTTGTTTTAAAACTCCTTTTGTTAACTGCAGGTAGGGCTGGCTCAAGACACTCTGCTGTTTGGGCCATTGGTGGCAATCCCTCCCAACCCCTTTCCTTCTATGGAATCCAGCCGGACTGGCAGCTGAATCTTTCTTTGGCGCTGGCGTTGGGACTGCTGCCTCCACAACACCTGGCTTGGAGGACACTGGGAAAGGCGGAATGGTGGGGACTGACATCCTTTTTCCCAGCATCATCCTTCTTCATTCTGCCTAACAGTAGGGTTGGCTCTGAAGTTATTCCGAGGAGGAGGAGGAGGAGGAGGAGGAGGAGGCATTTTGAGGGAACAAATACATTCATCTCAGTTATTTCTATGCTGCTTTTAAGGTGGCATCAATGATAAAAAAACATACAAAGTGGATATAGCTAAACATAAAAATATATTTCAGTAAAATCCATAGAAACTTAAGATTGTCAGTTTAAAAACAACAAAGACAAAAAGTCAATGGTCTAGGCCTAAGGAAAGGGTAGGAGAACAAGGTTAGTCTTCAGAGCTTTCCTGAACACCTGCAAAATGGCCTGGTGGTTCCTGATTCTAGACGTGGGGGCCCAGCACTGAGAAGGCCCTCTCCCTTGCATCCATCCACCTAATTGCCCTTGGGAGTGGGCGGGTGAGAGACCTCTGCTGATGACCTCAGACTGTGGACAGGTTAATAAGGGGAAAGGCGGTCCCTCAAGGCACTTGAGTCCAAACAGATGCTTCCGTTATTTTCAGCCACTGCTTGTTGCTAGCAGTTGGGCACATTTTTAATATTATCCAGCCATTTGCAGCAGTCGCTGGGGTGGGGAGCACCATCCGTACCATATGTTTAGTGCCTTCCCCCTTGCAGATAGTGGATGTGAACATGATTTGTGAAACTCTTCTTATATGTCAAGAAGTACATGAAAGGAATTGGTAAGGCATTAAACATAATTCATATTCCCCTCACACTTTGCTCAGCCTGAGTGGGTGAGAAAGGAACAACTAAGCAAGGGGAGAAGTGTGTGCTTTTGTATATGAATGAAACAAGCAAACAAAATGGTGAGGCTGGTATTTCACATATAGAGTGGAGGTGATGACACTTAAACAAGCTTATGAGAAGTGTTGGTCTAGGCTAGGGTATTCACAAGCCATTTTTAATAAATGGTCCTCCACCAGCTTGTCTTAAATCAACCTCACACTCTTTGCAAATATTATTTCTTGAGGTTTTATGAATATATGCAAATTAGGCATTGGGTTGAGTATGATGGAGATTCTTCTGTTTCTAGAAGGAAAAGATGCTTTGAAATGGAGCAAAGTTTACCTGAAACCATCTTTGCTCTGATAACACCTGTTTTAAAATTGAGCATAGCATGTTAACTTTGAAGCAATATAAGCAAACTCACAGTTGCATACTTATGTCAATGCATTCCTCCTATCCTGGAACCATTTATTTGAGCTACTTTTTAGCATCAGTACGAGTGGCCAGTCCTCATGATTGCATCATCAAAGAAACAGTTCGAATGGACCATGCCTTATTGCTTTGCCAGTACTGTGACCTTGCATTGGGTTTCAAATGTGATTTTTTGAGTGTTCTGGGAAGATGTACTGGGGAACTAATGTAGAATCAGGAAGCAGTAATTTGTAACTGTGGTTTCCATACTTTAAGCTGAACTTGTATATATAATTATCTGGGAATAAATTTGACCTCATGATGTTTACTTCAAGTAGAGACGTATAGGATTACGGTGTAAATCTGTTATAACCAATGGTCTGTAGTTTTCATGTATTATAGAAATGGAGTGCACTGATTAAAGAATGCATACCATTAAATCATTTATATAACAAAGCGAAAGAAGCAGGATATGGTTTAGAAATTGCATTGTTTGGACTTCATTTAGTTTGTACAAGGTTAATTTCAAATCCGTGAGATACCCAGGAGTAGCAAAACTGAATCAAATTGTTAATGTGAAGGATCTGCAATGAAGATTTCTGATCAGTGGGGAAAGGTTGGGGGTGGGGGAGAGCCGTGAATGGATGTTGTTGTTGTTGTGTGCCATCAAGTCATCTCTGATTTATGTGAGTGAGTGCCCTCCAAACCGCCCTGTCCTTGACAGCCCTGCTCAGGGAGGGAGCTGCTTCCTCTACAGAGTCAGTCCATCTCATATTTGCTCTTCCTCTTCATTTTCTGCATTCAACATTCCCTAGCATGATGATCTTCTCCAGTGAGTCTTGCCTTCTCATGATTTTCCTGCAAAATGATAGCTTCAATTTAGTTGTTTTTGCTTCCAGGGAAATTTCTGGAGTGATTGGATCTAGACCCTTGGTCATCTTCTGACTGGTCCAGGGTGTTCACAAAGCTCTCCTCCAGCACCATGTTTCAGACACATCCATTATCCTCCAGTCAGCTCTCTTCACTGTCCAGCTTTCTTACCCACACATAGAGGTCAGGAATACAACAGTGAAGATGATCTTGGCCTTGCTCTCCATGAAACATCCTTATACTTGATAAGCGTTTCTAGTCTCTTCATTGCTTCCCTTCCAAGTCGCAGTCTTTGAATTTCCTGACTGCAGTATCCATTCAAATTTATGATTGAGCCAAGCTACGCAAAATGTTCCATAATGTCAATTTCTTCACTGTTGCCATTAATGTTGTGTCATTTTTCTGTAGTCATGATTTTTGTTTCTTAATGTTCAGCTGCAATCATTCTTTTGCACTTTCTTCTTTCACTTCCATCAGGAGTAATTTCAATTCATTGCTGCTTTTTGCCAGTAATATAATATCACCTGCATATCTTAAATTATCAATGCATCTTCTGCCAACTTTCACTGCTTCCTGTTCTGATCCCAATTCAGCTTTCCTTATGATATGTTCAGCATATGGATTGAACAGACAGGGAGATAAAATGCCGTGTTGTCTGATGCTTTTGCCTATAGGAGACCATTCTGTTTCTCCATATTCTGTCCTAGCAGTAGATTCTTGTCCATGATACAGGCTATGCATCAGTACAATCACATGCTGAGGCATATCCATTTCTTTCCAAACCATCTATAGCTTCTCATGATTGACACAGGCAAAGTTTTTGCTGAAACATAGAAACAGAGCGAGTCAGAAGGGGCCTCCCTGGCCATCTAGTCTGATCCCTGGCTCCAGCCAGCTCCGCTCACAACATGCCTACCATGTGCATTGCTGAGTCTACAAAGAGTCTACAAAGAGTAGACAGGTCTTCTGAAACTCTTTGGTGCTTTTCAGTAGCTAATGAATCTTTGCAAGATGATCTCTAGTGCCTCTTCCTTTTTGGAATTCAGCTTGAATGTCAGGCATTTCTCATGCCATATAGGCTAATATTCTTTGTTGCAACACCTTGGACATCAGTTTGGTTGCATGGGAAATTAACTCTTTTCTTGGGAATTGGAATGTATATCGAACATTTCCAGTCTGTGGGCCATTGTTTGTCCTCCATATATTTTGGCATATTCTAATTAGGATTTGGACTGATTTTGTCTCTGCAGCTTGGAATAGTTTTGTTGGTATTCTGTCTACTCCAAGTGCTTTATTCTTTGCAAGTTTTTCAAAGCAGTTTTCACTTCATTTTCTAATAATGAAGGCATAGAATTCCTCATAGAATTCCTCCTTGAAGGAGTCTATCATCTTTTAATCTCTTCTGATAGTTCTAACATATATTGTTTTCACCTCCTCTTTATTTTTTCCTGGTCAAATAGTATGTTCCTCTGTTGGTCTTTCAGCATGCCTGTTCTAGATTTGAATTTCCTTGGTTTTCTTGGATCTTCTGGAAGAAGTCTCTTGTTTTTCCTGTTTCGTTGCTCTTGTCTTTTTCTTTGCACTGAGTGCTAACCAGAATTGGTTTAAGCATCACTGCTCTTCCAGTGTCCCATTCACCTGCTGCTCTTGCCCAATAGCTGCCCTTCAGAAGTTTCGCCACCCCCATTACCATTGGAGAGATCCATTCTCTTCTGCCAATATGACCGTTAGCTCCTGAAGAGGATGAATGCATCTGAGTCTGGTGTCTCACCTTGGTCCATTCTGTCCTGGTTGACCTCCTAGTGACCTTCTGGTGGCATCCCTCTTTCTTTCAAGGACTGGATCCAAGAGGGGGATGAATGGATTTACAGAGGACTCACACAGTCCTTCTAAAATGCCCCATTCTTCTGGTTTCTGTTTTCGTTCTGCTGCCATCTTGTGGCCATATGAACTTTACAGCTTTCTGCTGCTCCTTACTTGTCAATGCGTATATTTTTATATGCCATCTGGTTGGAAGGAAGGAGATTTGGGTTTCTAGAGCACATCTTCACAGAAGTACAGTGAAGCAATGAACAAATGATTCAGAACTTATCCATGCGGTTGTGTTTTTCAGTTTTGAAAGCACAGTGCTGTCAGGAGCTAGGTTTCCCCTGAACAACCTCAAACAACAGGCAATCTCTTTGTAAAAGAGCTCTTTATTTCCAGTTCACAGGTAACAAACTATATCCACAAGAGAAAGAGTCTCTGTGCATGGACAAAGTGATTCATTGAACCCAAACTAAAAAGTACTTCCAAGAACCCTTCTTTCCAGAAATCCTGGAGAGCGTCACGCCTCTGGGTATGCCCCTCTGGAGAAGGGCTAGCCGCCTGGGTCTATGCAGGCTTTCCAATTGGGCAGCCCCTCTAGCCTGACACTGCATCATGGAGTCAGGGACTGGACCAGGCTTGCCTTCCTCCTCTCCCTGGTCCTCTCCCTTTGCCTTCCATTCCCAGCCATCATACTCCTCATCCAAAGTGTCAGTGCAACCCTAACTCTGCAAAACACACCAGGAATACTGGCCCCTTTCATTCCCAACAAATATTTCCCTTGACTCAGTGCTCTTCCCAGACCACTGAAAATTGCTGTACTTGATAAACCTAGCCTTTTTCCTGCCTCACTCAGTTCCCTCCATTTTAATAGCACTAAATAATATGGTTCCTTTTTAAAAAAATATAGAAGCAACTGCGGCTGGAGAAACCCAGCTAGGAAGTTCTGCAGCTGAGGGAAATGTTTCTTCAAGTCGAGAGGGGCTGGCTTGCTGGAAGGGTGGCTGGATTTGAGCGTGTGAGTACGCAGGATGTACTTTCCCTTCTCTCTTAGCACTCGTTCCTCGGAGTACAAGCAGTTTCTGACAACTGGAAGCTAGGGATGGACGATTTTGCCTGGCTTGTAATGGATTAGGAGTGGCAATTACAGGAGAAATTCGAGAATGCCTGGAGTGAGTAGGGACAGATGCTTCTCTTTGCCAGTTCTGAATGACCACTGCCAATCTCAGCCCTTGACCTTCATGCCCCTTCCCTCCCCCTCTACCCTGGTAATTGCACCACTCGTCTTTCCTCCTCCCTCCTTCCCTTATTTCTAGATGACGGTGGAAGCAGCAGCTCCTTCTCTTTAACAGACGCTTCCACCTCTCTCCCCTGCTCCTCTCTTGTGCTTAAAACACTGCCGGGGCACAGAATGGGTGCTCTGGAATATGCTGTTTTTAACAGGTGGCCTGAAAGGAGACAGGTACCATGGGAAAACTATAAATTCTAGCAATGCCTCAAGTGCCAGAGAAAGAGAGCAGAACTCTGCGAGGTTCTTAATCCATTCCTAGAACCATATTCCAAGTAATACTTCAGTAACAACACGGGATCGCAAACCTACCACCTTCTCCACCCACCTTCTATCACATCTGACCCTTCTTATATGTTCATATTTAAGTCTTAAAACAGCTAATGAAGGTACTGCCCTATGCTTAATATGATGGAACTCTTCTTTCAAATTCTTCCACAGCTCCGAGTGAACCAGGATGAACCAATGGAAGACTACCCTCTGAAGTTAGAAGATGGGAGGGAAAAAGACTCTATAAATGCTCCCCACCGTTATGGGGTGGGGCATACAACTAAGGATCAGATGAGAACCAATGTTATCAATGAAATCCTAAGCACAGAGAGAGATTACATCAAACACCTGAAGGACATCTGTGAGGTAATTCAGCATACAGATAAAGTGTGTGTCATGCAAAGCATCAAGAGCATCTGACCCAAAGAATGTTATGAGCTGAATGTTAGAAGAAGAGAACCAGTAATGTTTGGAATATGGAATTCTTTGAAAAGCTTTGAGGCCCTTATTGAGCTAAAATATCCCATTGTTAATCTACCTCAATATAAATGACTATTCAGATTTGAGCAGCTAGAGGGTCCCAATGGAGTGGCTGTACAAGTACAATCATTTCTGCCACAATGCAAAGTAATTTTTCTTTCACAATGCTAGAACACATTGTCCAAAATGGCCTTTTGTGACAAATAAGCAAATACACTCATGTTTTACTAAAATGTATTGGTGTGTAGCTTTCTGATTCAGGTGTCACCTTGCTTTAAGTTTTATCAGCTACTAAAAAAAACCAAATCTGAACAAAATTCTAGTAAAGCACCTCTAAACCTCTTTATTTATTTATCGTATCCTTTTTCCTTTCAAGGATATCAGGGCAGCTTACATAATTCTCTTCTTCCTCTCAATCTTATCCTCACAACAACAATCCTGTGAGGTAGGTTGGGCTGAGAGCCTGTGACTGGCCCAAAGTCACCCAGCTGGCTCCATGCTGAGTGGGGACTCTTATATACTGTGCTGCACTGGCTTACAATTCCTTACAATTCTCAAGTGTTGCTTTTGCATGAAACCTTTAGAAGCAGCTTAGCTTCATTTCATTGGAGACTTCTACTGAGCCACCTGCTAGTTCTGGATTTTTCAAAGCAAAAATATTATCCTCTGCTCCAACACTGGAAGAATTTTTGTTTGTTTCTGCAGTAATCAGTATTTTACTCCATAATCAGTATTTTACTCCACATCCATAATCTCTGAGCTGTTTTAGCAGCACCAGATTGTTCCACTAACCCATTTAGCCTTATTGACAAGGATAAGATGAGCTGTAGTTCTTCTTGATTTTGTCTCTCAAGTAACGCACACTATAAATCCTTACTCCTTTCTAGGGCTATATAAAACAGTGTCGTAAAAGAGCAGACATGTTCACAGAGGAGCAACTGAAGACAATCTTTGGGAATATTGAGGATATCTATAAGTGCCAGAAAAAATTTGTTAAAGCACTGGAAAAGAAATTCAACAAAGACTACCCACACCTGAGTGAGGTCGGCTCCTGCTTCTTGGAATATGTAAGTTGCTGATCGTACCTATTTGGATGGTGACAGAAGCTGATGATTTGGCAACCTGAATTCTTTTCTGCCAAAAATAAAATTTGGTGTGTTTAAAACTGCATGTCTCAGAGCTTATTGAAAAGAAATATTTCCCATTATTTTATATGGAGATGTAAGTGTTGACAAAGGCTGCTGCTGTGTTATTACTTACTGTAAAGTAAGAATTAGTAGATGTTATGTCATCTTTTAACCATTTTAAGGTTGTTGGGGTGGGGGATACAAACAGCTCATAGAAGGGTCAGGCAACTTGCTGTGGATTTGTTGTCAAAATCGAATGCTTGTATAATTCTGCAATAATAGCCACATAATAAAAATGATAAAATACTAAAATGGCAAATAGTAAAAACAATACATCCCCATAAAACAAATGGCCTAGACAGTCCTGAAGAGATACAACACAAATGCAGTTACAACTCAGAACAGTTTGGTAAAACATAATCAGGAGAAGACTGGAGTGTTTGAGACCTTCCTAAAAGCTTTTAGGGATGGATTCTTGTACCCTGGCCCCTTGGCAACAACCCATTCCAAAGATGTGGGGCCATTGCATAGAAAGCCCTAACTGCTCTCAAAAGAGAGCAAATGAGAAGGGCCTGTATTGCTAATCTAAAATTGTGCATGCAAACCTAATATAATTTTTGTTGATATAAAAAAGGCTTTAGATATTTTCATTGCAGAAAACTCGACAGAGTTTCATAGGAAGAATCTTCATATTGACTTTGGAACATTCCTGAGACTGATTTCCTTCAGTTTATTAAAAAATCTGCTCATGCTTCCATAGCTACTAGTATAGTTCTCCTACAGTGCAACCTCTGTGTATGTTTACTGAGAACTAAGTCCCATTGAGATCGGTGGAGCTTAATCCCTGCAAGTGTTCCTGGGACTGTAGCCAAACAAGCAAAAGCAAATGCAAACAAAAACAATTGGAAAGCCAGGTGGTGAGGATACTGATTTACATTACAGCGTTTGACTTAGATGAAGATGAAGGCAATGGCGCCAGGGCTAAACAGGGAAAGAATACTCATTCATTTCTCTTACATAAATCCCTTTTCAACATTTAGCCTCCATTTAGTTTTGCTCTTTTCATGCTTTTTAAATACTGCCTTCTTCCCTGTGCTCTTCCATTTTACTTATCCTGTTTTTCTAAGATGGATGGTGCTTGTTTATCCAGCCTCAGACATGGAATTTTACTCTCTGTGTCCAGACAACATCATCTTCCATTTGTAAGTGTCTGCCCCCCAAAGCAACATGCACACTTACTCACTCCATTGGTTTTCTTACCAGAAAAGAATCCATTATGGAAGGAAAGAAAATGTGCAGTGCATTTGAACCACTTGTACTAGGTGCCCTCCATCTGGAAGCAACAGGCAGTGATCACTTTAGAATGGGGGCCCATTTTGTTTTTTATTTGGTCCAGTAACAGGATCCAGTTTTAGAGCGCATGACATTAATGTAACCTTCTGGCTTTCAATTCAGCAAAACGAGTTCCAGATCTACTCTGAGTATTGCAACAACCATCCCAATGCCTGCATGGAACTCTCCCGACTCACCAAAGTGAGCAAGTATGTTTATTTCTTTGAAGCATGTCGTTTGCTTCAGAAGATGATTGACATCTCTCTGGATGGCTTCCTTCTGACCCCTGTGCAGAAAATTTGCAAGTACCCTCTGCAGCTTGCAGAATTGCTGAAATATACTAACCCACAACATAGGTAAGGAATTGTGGCATTCCTCTCCGCACCCTCCCGCAGCAGCTCAGATTGTTCCCTCTTTTTGATGTAAACGCTGCTCGTTAGTAACATTAGGGCTTTCCAGAAATGGCACCGTATCTGCAGGATGCCTGAGTAAAGCCAGCCTGGGGCCTGCATTATGGGTCTAGGAGAAGACCTTTCCATTCTCCCAGGCATTCTAACAATCTTATTTGTTTATTTGTTTATTTATTTATGTAATGCATTTATATATCACTACTATAGCCCATATCTTAGTGTTTATAAACTCTGCCCAATTTAATTTTTTGTTTTACTTGGGTTATTATGTACTACTTTATTTTTACCACTGCTGCTGATGTTACTTTGTGTCATTTTATCTTGTGCTATTTTATTACTATTTTGTTGTGAATTCAGTGTTTATGTTTTTGATTTACTTGCACACCACCCAGAGGCCTTTGGTTAGTAAGTGAACTCAGCGTGCGGATGCACAAAATACACCGAATGAGCCTGTCCAAAAGGCCAATTTGTTTTTATTGTAGTTCATTCTGATAGTGTTTGAAAACTAGCTGTCTTGGGGAAAAGAAGAAGACTTGAACCTACTGACTTTCCAGTTTCCAAACGGATAGTTTTTCTGAGCACCTGGAAAAGTCGGTGTGGACAACCTTGGAAGGCTGAGGGAGCTGCACTGGTGGCAGCAGTGGCAAGTGATGCTCGCCGCTCAGCTGGGCAGCCATGCGTGTGGGAGGCTCCCCTTGCTTCCCGTTGGCATTGCTGTGGATCGTGGGAAAGCCAGTTGCCAGTGGCACAGCGGTGGTGGTAGTGGCCTCCGGTCGTGCAGCAGCAGTGGCACTGAGCAAGAGGGCCGCGTACGTGCCTTGATCACCCCGTGCTAAAAAATCCCGCAGAAACATTTTTGTAGGTATGTTCCTCCAGAGGGTGGCAGTTTTGGTGTTGAAAACAAAGGTTATAAATCCCAGAAACAGAAACTGGAGTCAGGAAAAGAATTAAAGCATGAACAATTGCATCAGAACAATTCCTGCAAATCAAGGACAGACTTCCTGGGGATGGGACGGGTTGCTCCATAGTTTCCTGGCTGCTAGTTTCTGATACTTTGGAATGGAAGGCCAGCTCCTTTCCCTTTTGGCTGCTTCTTGTAGGTATGTCTAATCAAATCCATTTCAACCCTAGGGATTTTAAAGATGTTGAAGCCGCTTTAAACGCCATGAAGAATGTGGCACAGCTCATCAATGAGAGGAAGAGGCGTTTGGAGAACATAGACAAAATTGCTCAGTGGCAGAGTTCAATAGAGGACTGGGAGGTAAAAAGGGACCACACGCTCCACCATGAAAGAAATAATCCCCCAAATTTTAACTGTGGTGATTTAAAAAAAAAAGTCTGCAGCTCTTTCATCAGGCAAGATAGTCTTTTGTTTGGCACACTGCTGGAACTGGGGTCACACATGTCCCAGTTGCTGTTTTTCTAGCCCACTGGCTCAGAGCACAACCTAGCAACATAAATGCTTGTGTATTTTGGCCATCTTCAGTTTAGTGTGCTTCTTATATACACTGATCATTGGAATTGCAAGAGCCCTGCTTATCAGTTGAACAGTTTGCAGAGACTGTTACAGCAGAGAGAGACCTGTGGTTTATCTGTGCAAGAGCCAACTAAAGGTATGGTCTTATGCACACGTTTCAGGAGTAGGCACCACTAAAATCAATTATGGGCCAAGTCTTAACACCTGAAAGGATGCATGCTTAAAATTGCTTTGGCAGTAATGTAACTATGCAGGTTTGGTCTGCAACGTCTCTGTTCCTGATGCTTGAAATCCTTAGGTGGCATGACTAGTCCTTGTACTGAGGCTTCAACACAGACAGAATGGGACCTGCTGAACAATGGCGGGGTGGGCAAACCTCTTCCCTTGCCTTGCAGATGCAGTGGATGAAGGAAAGATGTTCTCCTCCTAAGCCCATCACACCTAGACCACAACCGGCATGGAATGAAATGCATTTAAGAGCACTAGAATCAGGGGCTTGAGGCTTCTCAATTTTGTGTTGGATTCCATAATAGTGTTTAAATGCTTAGAGTGGGCACAGAAGTTTGCAGTCCAGGAGAGGTTTAGAAGATAATTGGTAAAACTCAATTTCTTAGGAAATAAGGCTAATCACAGAAAAGAACATGCTTCAGATTCACAGACCATGGAAGCAGGGGCCACACTAGGATCTCTTAAGCCCTGTTCAGGCATTTGGCTTAACACAGGTTGTACTGGCCACACCCCCAGGGGCTCCAGGTGTGCCCCCTTCAGGTCCGACCTTGCTGCGTTGAACTGGCCAGGCCCCAGCAGGCATTGCGCTCGCTTGCACTTGAAGGCGAGTAGAATTTCCTGTGCTATTGGAAATGCTGCAGAAGGCAGAATCTGCGGTCCCTTAGAGGGAATGTGAGTAGGCCTGGCCCCTTTGCTTAACTCACCTCAGGTTCTCGCATGGGCAGGTGAACACCTAAACAGGGTTTTAGAGTTTTAAGAATAATTAGCCTGATGCGTTGAATATTTATTTAGGAGTGCCGCTGAGTTCCACATGTCTAAATAAATGTGCATAGGACTTCTGTCTGTCTATTTCTAAAGCTAAATCTAGAGATCAAGACCCACCCTCAGCTGCCTCTGTCACTAGGCATGCGTCGGAGAACAAACAAGAAGGACAAGAGTCTTTCCTATAGCGAATGACTGACCTCAGGCAATGATTCCCCTTGCAAATTTCAGTCTCATGCTTTCATAGAAAAGTATATAAATTTAGGATAAAGGAAAGGTGACCACTCAGCCTTGCTGATGTGGACCAGTTGGTGCCTTCCATGTGGTTGAAAGTGCAAGAAGCAGAACTGGCAAGAGCCCATCAGGAAAACTTATTCCACCCCACTCCCTATACTTCATTTTTAGGTTTACATTCTGCATGTTCAGGAAGTTTAAGGTAAATTGGTTTTGTTAGGGATACCACAGACTTCTCACCAATTCTGAGGACTGCAATACTAAAAGATGGCTGGCAAGGATTAGCCATTTGGTATAGGGAGGGAGGGAGGGAGGAAGGGGGGAGACAAGTGTTGCTTTCTGGGAAACAGAAGAATTAAAAGGCGCCAAGCTTGAGAAGGAGGGAAGGAGCCTCCAGGTGCACAGATATATCCTTACTGAGCTCAGTGCTTTCCAAACGTCCTTTGGGATGCTGCTCGGCACAGCAGTCCTGAGCCTTCTGTTGCAAGAGGCTGACTAAGCAAAGAGAGGAGTATCAAGTAAGCTCCTTCCGTTGCGCGTGTGGTGGGGAGGGATGCTCTCTAAATTGAGTCAGATGCTTCTTAAAAATGGCAGTAGCTCTTTTGAGTAGACAAGATCATCACATGGTTGTTTGAGTTGTTTCAAGGTTTTCTAGGCAAATTGTGACAACTCTCAAGCACCTAAAGAGTGACTGACTGATAACAATAGCAGTAGTAGTAACAACAACAACAAGGAGCGACAGCAAGCAGCTTCTCTCTCTCTCTCTCTCTGAATGTGTGTTGATTTTAAGTGTGTAAGGCTGGGTAATTGATAAAATAAACCCTTGCTGGTTGGGTCCATCCACGATAGGTCACAATATATTACTTGTCAGCTTTTTTGAAGGGAAACTGACATATCCCTTGTGTTGTGAGTGGCAGGGTGAAGACGTCCTTGTCAAGAGTTCTGAACTCATCTACTCTGGGGAATTAACCAAAATTTCCCAGCCTCAAGCCAAGAGCCATCAAAGAATGTTTTTCCTCTTTGATCATCAGCTTGTCTGCTGCAAGAAGGTAAGCCCAGCAAGCCATTGCCTCCTCCACCTCTGCCAGTGACTGCTCCTGGTGATAGCCAAATTGCATCTTTCCTCGACTGCTTTTTTACGTTTTGTGCTCAAGCATCCATTGAAAGAAAGGGCCAGTGTGCTGGGGTGATGTTGTTAATCAAAGAAGTGTTGTTCCTATAAATCAAGGAAGGGCTGTGATACTGCAAATGTTGCTCACCCAGCTGACATTTCTCCCATGCTGGTATTCTGTGCCTTTCAGCTCAGGCATTTGATGAAAGAGCCCTGCTGTGGACTCTTGGAGGTTGGAGAAAAGCTACATTTTTTGCTTTATAAGATATAAGATAGCAGCTGAATATGCAATCAAATTAAATCCATCAGCATGGCCACCCATGGTCTTTCTAAACCCCAGGTCAAATTCTATGGTTGTATGAATAGATTGATTCAAACAATGTTTCCACCTACATAGATAATAGTTCATATTAATCATTCAGAAACCCTCCTGAGTAGAAATCCTGTAAATTCAACAGGAGGAGCTGGAATGAGGGGAAAGAAATCTTCAATAATCAGAGACCTCTTAATCCTTACAACACTTCACCATGTTTCCATGATTTTATTAGCAGACATCTTCTACGACCACAATGAAGAGTTTGATGTAGTTATAATATTTACCGTATATCACATGATAATAGCTGTGAGAGAGGGTAGTATAGTGCTAAAAGTGTTGGGTTGGGACTGGGAGATCTGTGTTCTAGCCCCCACTCAAGCATACAGCTCATTGGATGACTTTGGGCCAGTCACAGACTCTCAGACTAACCTACCTTGAAGGACTGTTGTTGTGTGGACAACATAAAGAGGAAGAAGACCTTGTAACCTGCTCCAGTTTTCTTGCGAGAGGAAGAAAATTGGGGTTTAAATATAATGTAAGAGTAACTGCCAGGGGCTATGAACATTATGGTCAGGCTGGTGTATACATGTAGACACTAAAAATAATTCACTTTAATTACTTCCTGCCTCTTTGATCTTTCTCCATTTTATATAGTCACCTGTTCGTAGGTGCTTATGCCCATAGACATCAAAGCTAATAACCTGTGCCAAGTCTCAGTAAATTAATCTCATCCTTAAGCCTTTTTAATGCTGTTGAAATCTGGGTAAAATCTAAGAAAGCCCAGGAGAGTTTCCCCTTCCCATAACCACATAATGTCCAGCCACTGCGACAGGTGGACATTCGACCATGTATAGAAGTGTGCCTGACTGGGTAACCTGAGAGTGCTTCCGTTGTGGAGTATGGCCAAGCCCCCACTGCCCCCCCCCCCAAATACCATTGATTGACAGCATAAGGAACATGTGAGAAAGCACTACTCGTCAGAACAGAAATGCATCCTGATGCATCAAATTTTAAAAATGGACCATTGAGACAGTTGAGACACCTCAGAAGTGCTCCCTACTCCAAATACCTTGGGATGGATCCAGGTAGTCACTCGTAGACCCAGTGCCATTGAACTAAATGACAAGTTAGGAATGACTATCTTAAGTCCAGTGATCTCAGTGAGACTGGCTTAGAGTCATGATGAAGTTTGGATCCAATTTGCTAAGTCTGTTATATTTACACAATAAGCTACACGACTGAAACCAGTGCTAATTTTTGTGGAAATGTTGCCCACTGTCACATGCTATTTTAGGGAGGACTTTCCCCAGTGAGTCCTGCCTATTATAACTCTTAATTTACTATGGTGATTTAAAGAGATGTTTTGCTCCCTCAAACTCATGTGCAAATCATGGTTGAAACTGGCACTTCACAATAAAGAAGCATCATCATGGTTAGAGTGGTATTTAAAAATATGCACTAACTGGCCATCTGCCTCAGCTAAAAAACTGAGTTTTCCTGAATCAGAAAACCATCAGGAAAAGCTGGAGTGGAACAAGTTTGTTTTATTTCCTCCTCTTTTATTTCCTTAGGATCTCCTACGACGTGATATCCTGTATTATAAGAGTCGAATCAACATAGACAACATGGAGATTCTGGATGTGGAAGATGGAAAGGATAAAGACTTCAGTATCACTGTTAAAAATGCATTCAAATTGCATTGTAGGGACCCGGAAGGAGTCCATTTATTTTGTGCAAAGAAGCCAGAGCAGAAGCAGCGCTGGCTCAGAGCGTTTGAGAACGAGCGGAAGCAGGTTCAGCTTGACCAAGAAACAGGTATGAAGCTGCTGGTGGGAGATTGTTCAATATACTGGACTGTCATTAGGCAGATAAAAATATGTTTCCCAACTCATCCATTCCACCTTATCTTTCAATGTTTGGCATGCTCGCACTCCACTATTGATGTAGCCCAGAAAATATTGCCTAAGTACTCAGAGGTTCCTGCTATATAACATATGTCCTGTGTTAATCTTTCTGATAATGCTCTGGGCAAATCCAACTTGGCAAGAACACCTACTAGCTAAGTACATCTGGTAGCAATTCCCGCTCTCTCCTTCCTCCACAGTGGCTCCATGCCTTTATCAAGCTCTGCCTTTTCTGAGAACCTAGTTCTTTAGCAAAGCCTTTCAAAGCAACTCTAGCCTCACCTTCCTCCATTGCATCCATCTGACTGTCTTGTGCAGAGAAAGCAACCTGGTAACCTCCAAATGTTTAGGCAGTTCTCATAATCCTTACCAACTGGTTAGCTGACTGGGGTTTATAGGAGTGGCCCAAAACAGCTGGCTGGCACCAGGTTGCCTGCTGTAAATACCTTGGACTAGGACACTCTCGGCTTGGTGATCTGCACAGTACCTCTGTCTTTGAGGGAGCCGAGCATTGTTGGCACATGATACAGGGCACATGGGGGAGGCACATGGCACTGATCTGATTCTCTAGGCTGCCTCTGCCGATTGGATGAGTCAGACGTATTGTTGCTCCCTCTGCTTGCCTGAAGCACAGGCTCAGCACTTAGTTTTACTTAGAACCATTCTGCCAGAAAAATATGAAGTCCATAACTCAACTTGGGCTACAGTTCTATGCATACTTGTTTGGTAGCCCACTGCATGGAACAAGACGTGATTGATTTGCTAAGGAACAGAATAAAACTGTTGGTGTAATTTTTGTTACAGTTATTGGAATCCTCCTGCCACTTTCTGGATTGTCATGCCTGTATATTCATGTTGCAGCTTGCAGAGCTGTAGCTGAGTTGATGTGTTTGTTTTGTCTTCAAGGATTTTCGATCACAGAGATGCAGAAGAAACAAGCTATGCTTAATGCCAGCAAACAGAACCAGAGTGGGAAACCAAAAGGTAAGTTTCTTTCACTTCGTCCTTGGTTCTTCTTCCCCCAACACCACAAGTTTACATCGACATGGGAAAACTAAGAATGCTTAATGCAGGGATGGCCACAACCCATTCCTAGGCCAGGAAAGTTGCGTAAAGGGTCTGAGTTCCGCTCTGTAGCTGAAATTGAATAACCTGCCATCAAGAGCACTGCATGCAGACTTGTTGCTGTTAGCATTCCTCTAGCTGGCTTTGAGATGCTGAGATGGACTGTAGGGGAACGTTACAGAACGAGTCCCCACGCTGTCAGATGCCCTTGAGCATCACCATTGCACCTCTGCATGGACGAAAAGACTACTATGAAGGAGCTGAGACCCAACTTGATGTCGGGTCAACCATTTTGCCTTAAGTTAGCGGCTCTCATGCCTTGTGCTTATGAGCTCAGTGCATTCATTATGCTTTTTATGAAAAGCACTTCCTTTCCTCGGCCTTGTACCACCTACAATCCATTCCCATTGAACGGTCCCTCATTCTGGTGCTACACTTCTTCACGCCATGGTTTTCAAGCCCCACTGGGAGATCCAGGTTTTTAAAACTGTTTGCGTAAAACGTCCTCCCAGGTTTTTGAGGGCCACTGGGAAAGATACCCTCAGTGGGCCACCCCGCTCCGTGAGTCTTACATTTTCACCAGCAGCTGTTGGCCATCCCTGTCCTCTTTCTAATCGCGGTCACTGCATGCTTGCCTGGCAGGAGAAGTCGGCAGCGGCATCTGCTGCGCCTCCTCACCGTCAGTGCTGTTGCCAGGCCCAAAGACGGAGCGAGTGTACCGCCAGTTGTCCAAATGGCGACGAAGAGGAGCTAATATAGGGCACTTTTATCAGTGAGCCCCTGCTGGGGTGTGGGCTGCCACAGCTGCCCCTGATGCCCGTGCTGGCCGACAATCCCTGTTGCTCCCAGGCAGCACCACATGGTAGTCCATAACGTCTGCAGGGTGCCAGGTGGGGTGAGAGGGGTGGGACTAGTCTGCCTCTGTTGACCAGTTTTACCCCACTGGTCCCAGTGTCACAAGCAAACACTAGCTTCAATTTTCTTCAGGTTTGCAGCAGGGGGAGACCAAAAAGTTAAATTTAGCCTCCATTCTTGCTACAATCTTAATAATGGTCAGTTGTGACTACTCCTGCTCAGGGGCTTGCTGCAGACACCTGACCAGCTATTCTGTGACTAGCAGGGCCCGTGGCGTGATTTAGCATGGCTCTTCTTAGGATCACTTTTTAAAACCTGCATGTCAAATGCAAGGATATATTTGACATCACATTCAGTTTTGCCCTTTCCAGCACTGTAAATAAAATGAAATCCATTGAGTTTCAATGAATTTCCATTAGAAATCCCTTAATGGAGGATTTCTAAAATATTAGAGATTTAGGGACTGTCTTTGTTTCAAGGGAGATAGTCAGGTGGCTCTCATTCCATCTTCCGCTTATTGATGGAATCCAAATTTAAAATCCAGATCTAATTCTGTTTGCACTAGAACACATGTGGAATTGGTACAATTCCCCTCCAAAGTAAAAAGATCAGCGAGTCCATGTGACCAGGAAAAAGTCCACCGCAGAATCCACAGGTTGGATTCATAGATGTCCAAGCTCATTTGAATCTGTTGTGAATTTTCCAGTGTCCCTGTTGAATATTGATGACAATGACAGGTTGTGATATGTGGATAGAAACATTGAGAAGGCTGCATCGATGTAACATTTTGTGCCCTTGCTTACTTTGTAACAGTGGTCACCAGGACATATTATGATTTCTTGATGCGCCAGAAACACCCCACCTTGCCTACCAACCTGCCGCAGCAGCAAGTCTTCATGCTGGCAGAGCCCAAGCGCAAGCCTTCCAACTTCTGGCAGAACATCAGCAGGCTGGCACCATTTCGGAAATAAGAGGAAAGAAGCCCAACCTCGTGCCTGAATACCCTCGAGAAAGCACTTTATGCATCAGTCCTGCAAAACCAAGCACTAGCACCCCCTCCTGGCTTTCAGAGGGATAACATTCATCCTTCACACCCTTCTTTTGCCAGACTCATCATGTTACGATGACATGTTGCGTATGCGTGTGTGTGTCTGTGAAAATGAGCCTGCCCATCTCTTCGAGCATCCAGGAAGACAAAATGTGAGATTGGAGTCAGAACCTTATTGCCCTCCTTTTTCTTAACCTCCCTTGTTTTATCAGTTTCTTTTTGGACCATATTTCTCGTTGGGAATCTGATTCACTTTGTTTCCACAAGGCTGCCAGACAAGGAAGGCAAGTGGCTGTTTAGTCCCACTACCTGCTTGGCATTTGCTCTAAGCAGCTGTTTAGTGATGCTGCTGTTTTGCAATTTTTCTGGTGTGATGGATTCCCTTTCTCTCCCCTTCTCATCCTCATTTTCATCAAAATCCTGAATAGACGAAGCATTCCCAGGGAAGCACCTTCAACCTTCCTTTACCTGAAAGTGGAACTACTGACAAGAAACCAGAACAGGACCCACAAATCTGAAGCATGACTAAACCACCCTCAAGACCTTTTCAATCTAGTTGAGTTAATGTACATAGTAGGGGAGGGGGAAATGTGCCTAAATTAACTTTGCATTACTTTTACTTTCTACCAACACTTTGCCATAGTTCCTGGCCAATGAAACTTTTTGTCAATGTTTTTAAATGTTTATTTATGGTTAAAGTGCAGATAACTGTATTTTGTAAGAGTTTGTAATCTGTCTTGTCAGATGTTAACTTGATGCCTGTTTTGTCTAATTTTTTTCACTAAAGAAAAAGGCCAACCTTTGTAAGCCTGTAGTCCTAAAGATATGAAACAGACATGTCTGAAGAGGAATTTCAGATGTACCAGGCACTTACACACAAATCAGTATTACTTGGAAACTGTGTCGCCCATGCAATGGACTACAGAGGTAGTGAGGGTACTTACTGAAAAGCAGGGACAGTTTGAAAATTGTATGGGAGAGTGTATATCTAGATGCAGGCACTTGAAAAATTGAGGGCAAAAATACCCATATAATCACTGATTAGGAAGAGAAAGATTTGCCTTATATTAGTGAAATAGTTAGAAGCCATAACTGACTGAATCCCATCATCAAGGGATTTCCTGGTACTGTGAAGTTAAAAGGAAAAAACCCAACCTTACTCCAGTATGAGACTATTGCAGGGCAGCGAGCATGCATTAGCCTGATGCAGAGAGAGGCAGTGTCCAGTGGTAGCTGACAGCTACACAGACGTAGAAGCATGCTCAGATTCATTCTTGCACTATATCCTTTACCCCAGTGGGAGGGGCTACATTTAAATTTCATAAAGAAACTTGTAAAAATGACTTCCACTCAGTGTCTGTGTGTGTTATAAAGCAACCTTTGTGGTACAGCAGCTCTGTTCTCTGGTTACTGTGTGTGCCCAGTCATTCCTTTGAGCAATGGACTGGACTACACTACCCAGCTCTCTTTCCAGCTCCAGCCCTGCATCTAAAGCAAGAGTGAACTATTGTTAGCTCTCTAGTTGTTCCGGCTGAGAACTTGCATTGATGGTAGCCGACACAGACAACGGTGAGGGCCAAATATCTTGTGGGCCAAAACAACTGGAAGGCCACGGGCAGTGATCACGTGGTCCAACGGCTAGCTACACACATTTAATACTGACTGCAGTGTCATGTGCTAACTGCTTGCACGTGTGAATAAGCTGCTGTGAAAGACAACATGCATACCTTCATATCATTTCAAATACTCTGATTTGGGATCGAAGTCTCACAAGCAGACCTGCTTTTGAAATAAGACTTTCCTACCCCAATTCCCATTGCACCCTCCTGCATGCCTTGAAAAACTGCAGAGGAGCCTTACAATCTCTATATGGAAGGAAGACGAGCTGGAGGGAAGGGATCGAAGGAGATCATTAGTAGTCCTTAAGCAAAGTGCTTTCTGCTTTTTTCCCAATGTGCTGCATATCTCTGAAGGATAAAAATACATGTGAGGCACATCCATGCATACGCGAGTCAGGAGACACACAGGACGTCTATCAGTATCTTCTTCATTTAACAAAGGACAGTGCCTCACCCTTCAGTGACAAGCCAAAACCCCCGGCCACAAGGACTTCCTTGATCATGGTGGACAGAAGATGCTACCTTCTGGGAACAAAGCTGCAGATCATTCAGGAAAAGAATATTACAGTGCATTGGTAGCAAGGATACACTTGCTACCAAGGCACTGTTCAGGGTGCACCACTGCTTTGGGTGCTCTTCAGTGCAGCTCCACTTTGCTGACAACAGAAAGCAAATTCAGCAGCCTCCTCATCTTCAAAGTCAAGGCTCTGCACATTATAATACAGAAGAATACTTTTGGATTAGGACTGACTGGCATGGAGTCTAGACAGAGCCACGGTGTAGCTTTTCGATACTTTATTGAAATGTTTAATAAGGGCAGTAGCTGCATTCATATCATCTAGTTACTGTGGGAAGGGCTAGGAGAATTAAGGAGCATGGCCAAAATTCATGGCCGATCATCAGCAGAGGTGTGACAAAGCAAGCCCTGGTGCTAGTACTTCCAATATAGAAAGCTCCAAACACAAAGCAGGTTATTATGCAGAGGAAAGATGTAGTATTGTCCACAGTGAGATCCCTGTAATAGAATAGCAAATATAACAACCAGATTATGGAAATAACATGCCTGCATAGGTGTCTGCTTGATTGTTAAGGATTATGCAGTCATCCAGAATGTTCAGGTTAAAAAACCGGGCAAATCTTATACTACAGTGTTTGAGAAAACATACAAGTAGAGGGGCACAAACTAAGACAGAACATCCACAATTGATACAAATGATGCTGAACACTAGATTGATGTGAGAAAGGTAACTTGGAGGGACCAGAAAAGGGATGCAACATGGCCTAGATAATTCAGGTAGACGGTTATAGACACACAGTATCTCCTGTAGCCTATCCTCCTAGGAACGATGGCAGAGAGGCAACACTGAGAATGTTTAGGTAGTACATATTTACTGCATACATACATACATACATACATGCATGCAGTAAAACTCAGTGGAGGAGACGGTGGACAGTACAAACCCTACATCAGTTCATTCCAGTTGTAGTACTGTATTTCATTAGCTCACTCCAACCTTTCCCAGGCTGGGCTAGAACAGCGATCAGTTATCCACACCGACCTTACAGCAGCCTTCCCTGATCGGTTGCTCTCTGGGTGTTTTGGCCTGCAACTTGCAGCATTCCTAGCCATCAGTAATACTAGCTGGGGCTGATGGGAGTTAATGAACAAAACATCAGGGTACCTGGTTAGGGAAAGTTATCCTACAGGAACCCTTAGTAACTAAGCAAAGGGTGAGGTGCAGGCAACACCAGTTCCTCATGTTTATCAGATTTCGTGGAAATAAATTGTTTTGGAATAGCTTAAATTGCAGGTGAAATATGCCATTGTGGCTTACATGCCGTATTTTCAAGCCTGTATTATGGAGACGTGATAAAGTGGGAATTACAACCCTTGCTTCAGCCTAGACCATACCAAGGACCCAGAATACGTTCAAGTTGCCATACAGTTATATCCCAATCAAGTCTGTGCAACAAACCACCTGCCTCAGTAGCAGCAGCCATGCAAGCAACCCCTGAGAGCACTCCTGTCACACAAAGTGTACTACTTTCTGCTTCATCATTTCTGTGCCAGTAACAGATCTTGTGCTTCAGTTTGAGCCTCACCTTTTGCAGGAACTTAACTGAATACAGGAAAAAGCTGGATTCAGGGACTGCACACACATAAAAAATTAAATTCCATAACAGAGTAATTGCCATTATTCTTGCAGTAGCACTTATGCAGTCACACAAAATATCAAGCACTGGTCCTGCTAGCAAAAGCAAAAATGTTGCGCTATACAATCAAATAGCTCAACCGACATGCAAATTCAGTTTTAACATTCTTTTGCCTTCCAAGAAAGCTAGCAGTTATTTGATGTACTGGGATAGGTTGAGGAAGCAAGTTTTGCATATTGGGTGATGTGCAGGACAGATGTTACAACTGGCTAAATAGACCATTTGGTACAAACTACTTCCAGTATAAATTGAATGTATTAAGGAAAGCCAGTTGTGTTGGGTTTATTTTTGAGGCTTGTAGTTGTTCATAAAACAAGACTGAAGGGCCACAATAAGCAACACAGTCAATCTTTATTGAAAACTGAAGTATTAATACATAACAATTCCTGTTACATAAACGTGCTTTTAAGAATTTAACTCTGAGCTCATCTACTCATTGGATTGCATAAAAATAAAAATGAATTTTACACAATTGGCTCAGAATGGAATTGCCACTCCTATGTGTTGATGCAAAAGTTCAATGCAGATGTGATGCTTTAAACTTGTTCTGGAAGACAACATTGACCTAAACTTGGGAAAAAGTACCAATACAAACTGCTTTAAGACAGTCTTTAAAAAAAAGTTATAAAAAAGGAAACCTGTGCCTATTCCATAACAAACACTATTACTGGGGCCTCTTGCACCTTTGTTGCATGCACTCCCGCTTTTCACCCCACAAGGGCAGCCAATAATAGCACTACAATAAAATCCCACTAACAAATCCATTCTACTAAAAACAAGTCTGTACAGCAGCAAGCTAAATGAAGCTTCCCCAGTTTGCTTGCTAAGTGCTCAAAAGTCTTATCAGATTGAAAAATTCACACAGATACTGCTGTTGGGTAAGTGGAGGTCTAATCGTTCAAAATATTGATATGTTATGTTGGCTCCTGAAATTAGGATACTCAAATATTTCCATGTCACATTAGAGTCAGATGCCCTCTCTCTCTGAAATTGTCTCTCATCTTAGTCTCTCACAAACAGCAATAAGATGCCTTCAGTAGCCTTGAAACGGCAGTTCAAGAGTCAGCCTGACCAAGACATTTTCACAGATGCTTCAATGCACACATGCAGCTTCCCTGTTGCACCGTTTTCCCCTTGCACTCCAAATGGAAGTGACTGTTTCACAAGCTAACAAGCAATGACCACACAGAGATCAACAGGAAGGCTGCTGGAAAAGAAGCACCATGTGAACACAAAAAGCCACAAAACAAGCTCTGGAATTGGGGTTTAGTACTTTACATGCAAAGGTTAAAAGGGCATTTGCTTACTATTTGGGCTGTTCCCTTGATGCTTGCTATCAGCGTTACCTAACAGAGAATAACATGCTGAATCTCACAGCTCTCAGGAAATTAATTACTGGTGCTGATTTTTCTCCAAAGCAGCCACTCAGCATTGGTTATTTGCCTGAAAGGGTCAATTCAACACTGCAGTGTAAGCAACTTTCAGATATTCTGCTCTGTGAACACTGTCATCTAAAATCCTATATTTTAACTGGAAGAAAATGAGGCTAGTTCTGCAACACCATGCTCAAGCAATTGGAACAAATGCTCATTAGAAACACATAGGAAGAGGAGGGTTTGCCCAATCAATTCAACATTTTCTATAGAAATTAGGACTGAAGAGCTGCTGACATGGAGTATTCCTATACAAAGACTGTACCATAACCTGTAGTCCAAACTGATTTGAAGTGTTGTGTTCCAAGTGGCTTTTCAGTTTTGGAATTCAACTGAACTGAACTCCCCTCCCCCATTATTTCCACCATGGCATCAAAACACCTTTCATGGTTAATCGCTGGTCTTAGTACTTGCCTTTTTTGTAGGTCAACACTTTAATTACATTTTTACTGCCAGAAAAAGTTAAGTGGAGGCTTAGTTTCCAGCCATTTTGTTAGTGCTAAACACTGCTGAATACATCTACTAGCTTCTTGGGCAAATAGCATTTCTATAGGTGTGCATTTTGCAACTATTTTAGAGGAGACACATAAATACTGTATCTACTTTGGGAATGCCTCCTCACTGATATCTTCAACATTTAAAAACATAACATTTGAAGTTAAGACAAGATCTTTTCTTTTCTGTTATTGCTGAAATGTTTCATTCACTTCCAAGTATATTTCCAAGGCTGCATTCAATTGAAAGCAGCTTGAATTGAGCCTTGTCTATACTGCATCAGCTCCCTTTAAAGCTTCTGGGGAACTTCAATGCAGCCACAAACTAAAAATTTGAGGTTTTACCACCTACCTACCCACCCCCCATCCCACTCCCCCACAGGAATTCCAAACAGGGAACAAACAGGAAGCAGGAGCACAAATGCCTCAACACTCCCCTGTTACCTATAACCCACTTGAAATACAAACTTTCAGTTTCATATTCATGCTTTTTATTATTTGCAACAATATACCAAGCTATATACATCCTCTCATTACTGTGCTTTTGGTTACTTCTCTACTGACTCTACTGGAGGCATGGGACTACCCCCAGTGAAATGCCCTCTCCCTCCCTCCATCCCTCCCGCCCACCCACAGACTAGAATTTCTGGAAGGTGCAGCAACTTTTGCAAGAAGTCCTCTTCCTCCCTTGCAGATGAATCCCATAACACAACTTAGGGAAAAGTGCTCAAGTGAGATCACCTAAAGGCTGTTGCTACTTCTGTGTTTGAAAAAGAGGAAGCATTTACAAATCTGGAGCTTGAGGAGAATAAATTATAATTTGTCCTTACCACTGACAAAGTGCTGCGTTAGCTGAAGAGTTCAGGGCATTTAATTTAAGAGACTGGCGGCAGCAGTGCTTACATTTCTTTTCAATGTGTTCCCAACACAGCCATGTTTCAAAGCTTGCAACTTTTATATATGGCTAAAAAGATTTTACTTTCAATATTTGTGATATTGGACAACTGTGCCTATTGAGCGATCACTAGTCTGTGGAGCATTTAGAAACTGGAACTATAAACCGGCTTCACAAATGGAACAGCTAAGCAGTCTCACCAAAGCAGTACAGACTAAAATGGTAAGGTAGCTTTTTTTGTTTCTGTATTATGGAACTGTCTAAGCTGCAACATATATTCAATATGCAAATTCATGTGTTGTTGTTGCTGTTGTTGTGCTAAAGGCTTTTGGATCAAGGAGGTCATATAGAATGGTGATCCATGGAAAATGCAAAACATTAAATAAAAAAAGAAGAAGAAATGTTCATTGTAAAAAATAAGGTAATCAAGGCCCTCACCTCTACTGGGGTTTGAGGTGAGAAGCTTCCTTCCCCAGGAAAATATGGAATGGCAGCATTAAAATCAGCATACATGCTACACAGATGTAGCTACTAAGACTGATTTAAAAACTGATTGCCCCAAATAAGCAGAGGGATATTCAGTCTCGCATTTTTATAAAACCCTTGAGAATTCTCTATCAACACTACAAACTAGCATACAAATATCAACTTTAAAAGGGAACCTTTATAGCTATTTACTGCACAATTTATTGCAGGAAGGGTGGGGAAAAAAATGTTCCATTACTGTTTTCCTAAATGATGCCAATTTAAAGAAAGCCCTTGATTGCTATTAGCACTGAAACTAAAACTAAAACATTCCATAATAATTTTGGTACACAAACTGGTTTCAAGACTAGCCCTATAATCCCACAGCACTGACTGAGGTACTTCTATAAAAACTCAAAGCTGAAAGCAAGGAGTTCAGAAGTGGTTCATTGCAATGAAATACTGCATCTGCTTTCTTAATTCACTTGTTTTCCAAATTCAACTGAGGTGGTAAAAAGTAGACATTTAAGATTATGACAAAAATGGTATTACCAAAAAATAATGCTGATCACTTTCTAATTTAGTACTACTTAAAAAAAACTTTGATATCTTACAACTCCTACCACTTTTTGTTCATAATCCATGCTGCAAAAGAACATGGCTGTTTAATGTATCAGACATGGACACTTTCTTCAGAACCTCTGAATTTCTTTCTATTGACTCTGAAATATTGACAACTATTTTTGTAAAAGCAAGCTGGTTCAAACTGAATTTTTTAGCTGATGAGGACTAATACATCTTTGGGGGGGAAATGAAACAAAAAGAAATTTGATTCTATTGGCAGTGTGGAAATCTCTTCTGGACACCTCAATCATTTAAAACTGATTTTTCTGGGAGGTCAACCATAGCATTCCAATGAAATAAGTATGCACTGATGATTTAGACAGAATGTCAGATTGCTTTTTTTCATGGATAACCATATGTTTTCCATAAAATTCCATTCTTATCCTTAAGAATGTCCATATAACACTGAATCCCAAAAGGAAAAAAGGGAATGGAAAAGATACACATCGTAAACTGATCCTCTGTAAGATTGCTACAAACTACAAACTCATTTTCCAGTCACTGAACAAAGAAAGGAAAGTATCACTTAACTGTGCCCCCTTTGACTGGTGCCTTCATTAACCTTAAAAGGTCAAAGCACTTGCTAATTTATCTATGGAAAAAAATCAATGTCACAATTCTACCTCTTAAGACCCTGCATACATTACAACAGTGCATTAGTGATACAAATTGTAAAATACTTTTCGGCTCCTTTGGATTTTGCATATGACAGTTTTTGCATCAGTCACAGCAGGTAGATTGAGCAAGCTTTGTGAGTTTTAGACATGCATTCAACTAGATATGATCAATAAATTTATACTCCCTTTAATCATTATAATTAGCTAAAAATTGCAAGACAGTCCACAAAACAAGGTTGCTTTAAGACTAACTGCTGGAGTTCCAAGATGTAAGATATGCAGCACTGGGAAATCTTCAGTGATCTGGAATTAGTGTTTAGCAAAGGGTTGAAAGCATTCAGAAGAAATAAGTCCTGGTTGGAGGCATGAGGGCTTCAGCACCAACTTTTAACCTCAGTTACTTGATTGCATATCTCCCATCTTCAAACCTGCATTCAACAGAGGGCAAAAAGACATTAAACACTGCCTACCCTGGCTGAATGCTACATGATATATCCCTCATTTCAAATACAGATTCCATGCAGATGATGCACCTTGCACTAAGAGTCAACCTATTATACAATAGTGGGGTTTAACCCACTCGCATATGAATATGGTGGTAACACAAATCATTCCTTGCTTCATGTACTCCCATCATTCAAGATATAATGCCTAAGAAACATGAGAGATTAGGCCTTTGCTAGCAGAACCTTAGTCTTTCCCTAGGAAATTCACCTAGTTTCGTCTCCACTGAGCTTCCTGTGGATAGCAGGTTTATTCTTATGCAGTGCCTTTAGGAAGGCAGACCTCTTTCCTGTTATTTTCTGCTTAAGTTTCCTTTTAAGCCTGTTCAGCCTTTTGCTTTTCACCTTTAATTCTGTAACCATTTTATTAAAATATTTAATAACTTGCTATGTTTCCATTACAATAACTTAGTACCAAAGGCAAACATTATTTGCAGTAAGCAGACCGCTTTAGTGAATTAGTAGTGAATCCAAGTCTGTTTTAATTTTAAGATAATTATGGAATTTTATGGAAGGGGATTATTAGAGGGCTGAACATCTGATAGTTTTTGTGTATCGCTTTCTGCTGTCTTATTAAAATTCATAGCTATTCACATCCGAATCACAGAATTCCCAAACTCAATGCTGAAGCTGAGAATTACTAGGTCAAAACATCCAAGGAGGCTCAAGAGGACCATAGGAGGGCTTATGTAAGTGAATCCTGATACTTGTTGAAATAAACCGACAATTTATTTTCAATCTAATGAAAGCTAGGCATGAACTTTCAATAAGTTGTAAGATTCGCTCCAGAAAGATAAATGGCTATGCTTGGAAAACATCATTTCCTGATAAGGAGAGAAACAAGGAGCATCAAGGGGAAAAATCCACATCAATCATGTATAGCAGCTATTTTCAAGAGTATCTTTGGACCATCAAAATCCTTCAAATGGGTTAGGTCATACTGTGACTTGGGAGAAACCTCCAATTAAGAAAGTGCTATGATTATTATAAATATGCCAATACTCACACTGCATGGTAATCACCATTGTGGGGGCACGTAGCTATAGGTTGGAGTTCCTGGGGCCCGATAAGTGGGCATTGTAACTGGGTGAGGGGCTACAGGAGTTGGGGAATGTGTTGTCAACAAGGTACCTGTGGAGGAAAAGGAGCATTTTCTTACTGCTTTAATATACCCTTTACCATATAAGCTTAATTTGGAATTTGGCATATCCACTGGAACTTCTTTTTTTGAATCAAGATTGAATAATTTTGCAATTCTGCAGCAGAATTTACAACATAAAAAGGCTGTGTCTAATAAGGTAGGTCCAACGTACAGTGGTACCTCAGCTCACAAATGCCTCAGTTCATGACCAAATCGGGTCACGAACAAAAATTTAATAAAAATTTTTACTCAGGTCGCAAACTCTGCATTGGGTGGTGACTGCGATCGCAGCCATCTCCCCGCACCCAGAGTGAGGAGATGGCCATGATCGTGCTGGGGCGAGGGGGGGGGATGGCCGAGTCCGCGCCCATCTTTCCTGCATGAGTGCGTCCATGATTGCACCCTTCTTTCCTGCATGAGCACAACTGTGATCTTGGTCATCTCCACCCTCCCGGCCCAGCATGATCCCGCTCTCCCTCCCCCCTCGAGCATGCCTGCATTCCTGCCAGTCTCTCCAGCCTCCCAGCGCATCACATTCATGCCTGTCTCTCTCCCCTCCCAGCACGCCGGGATGACGGGCGAATGCAGGGATGATGGGTGCGATCATGATCGTGCGGGGGAGGGCGGGGAGATGGCCACGCTCCTGCTTGGAGTGGGGTGGGGGGAGGTGTCCGGAATCTTTGTTATTCTTTGTCACTTTGCTTCACATTTTTCCTGATTAAAAAATAGTTACAGAACAGATTAACCTGATTTACATTGAACCTTATGGGGAAATGTAACTTGGCTCACAACCAATTTGGGTCACGACCAGAGTCCTGGAACAGATTAAGTTTGTGAGCCAAGGTACCACTGTAATTACCACCAGTGTCGCTGCCTTCACCACCTTCCACTCCTCCATTATTGGGCTATTACTGGGTGTTTTGTCCAAGGCCTCTTAGTGATTTACGTAGCATAAGCAAGATTTTGATCAGACCAGCAGGATAACTTGTGGTCTTCCAGATGTTTGGGCCTACAATTCTGATCAGCCCTAGGTAGCATTGCCAATGCTGAAGGATGATGTAAATTGTAGGTTACAAAATTTGGAAGGCTACAAACTATCTACTCCTGAACAGGAGTCCACCTACATTCCCAAATACTTTACATCTGCTGGACAACTCTCCAACTTGCAATTTTTTCCTGCTTTGTCAAACTATTTCATACTTGATGAATGGTGCTAGAATTAGAAGACTGTACATAGCTTACAATTCACAACATCAAGTATCATGTAAAATATGACTATTTAAATATATGAACAGCAGATTTCCATTATATCGGAGTAATAGATGGGTAATTCACTCATGAAACTCACTGATACAAAATGAGCAGTGGGTTGGACCTGATGGCCTTCATGGCCCCTCCCAACTCTAGTATTCTATAATCTGCATTTTAAAAATAATCAGAGTAACAGAAAATATCCATCATGATAACCAAAAACATAATCTCCATGTACAGAGTCATAGTTACTTTACTATTTACCTTATGCTACCTTTGAATGTACATGCATTGAGTTAGTCACATTTCTAGATATTAAATAAGATTCAATACCACCACTGTCCATGGGAATATAACTAAATTTCACGTACCTGCTGACATTGCCATTGTGGTCCCAGCCACCATTCCCATGGTGACACCATTTCCTCTGGGGGGTGGAATTGGCGCTGGATACATTGTTGCTGGCATTCCATTGGGCTGCACAACTGTAGTGTGATGAATTACGTGGGGTGGTGCTGCATATAAAGGCTGTGTGTAGTAAGTGCCTTGCTGTTGAAAAAAAATGTTGGTTAATTAAAATCTTTTTTTACTATTCATACTTCTAAAAGGGCATACACTTTGGGGAAGATGCTATTAATTACACAAATATATATGGAGAATTCAAAGACACTCCTTTCTTGTGAGAACACATTAACTTTAACTTTCTTATGTAAAAACTAAGAATGGGAATTGAGACTTTAAAAAAAGAAAAGCAGCACATTTATTTATATATAAATATATATGGTTTTTGTTCATTGAAATCAGTCCTCCTGTTTTGTTTTACAAACAGTAAGGCTGCCTTTGTATCAAGTGCTCCTTTACTTTATCAGTTTGGTTTTCTGCCTAGTTTAGCATGTAGTTGTACCTGTAGGTGTTAGGTTGTAGCATTTAGCTGGAGGTTGTGGAGCATCGTGTATGAACCCAGGCTGCTGTGCTCTTTCGGAACAGAACAATCTACCATGATGTTATGACTTATTGTTGTTTGGTCCCTAAAGAAGCCAGCAGTACAGGTTTGAACATCACTTTGAACAACCTACAATCGTGTTTCCATACAAGTCGCATGGTAAAGCAGAAGAGAGAGGCAAGCAGCAATCCTATTTTTATGTGCAAATAGTCTCTGAAAGTTTGATTTGTAAACTTTCAAACTCAGTATCAAAATATACATTCTTCAACACTGTCCCAGAAAGTACCCTTTTAACCAAATACTAAGTCATTTGCTGTATGTGCTGGCACTATGAAAAAATGATATAAGCATATTGCAAAATCTTTATGGCACTTCCTTTACAAAATATTGTTTTGGTGGGTACTTTGCTGCTACAAAGTAAGAAAAAATGCACATGTTCATTTTGTAATAAGGTATTATCACTGGGAAAATTTCATAAATATATTAAAGGCATTTTCAAATACCTTACCACAACACATACAAGCACATTTACAGATATACAACAGTCATAGGGGAAGAAAGAATAATGTTGTTGTTATTAACTGCATTATGGACATCCAGGAGTGTTCATGCCATACTGCAGCTATATTTAGCACAGTAACCAAAACAGCATCACATTTTTCTATGAGCATGCACTAACTTATTTATTTATTTAAAACTTTTATATGCCGTCACCAAATGCTCTGGCATCTCGGGACAGCTTACAATGCCGTAACTTATAGGAATATGTGAAAACTGAGAGAAAAATTCCTGTTTTCTGAGCAACACACTGGTCATATTCACATGATATGCCAAAATTAAGAGAATACCAACTTATTGTTTACAAACAGTACACAGTGCATACTACATTACCAGTTTCATTTGGTGCCACCCACCAGTGGAGGACAGACATTAACCTGGAAACAAAAGCTCAGTAGTATGCCTGAACTGAAACTCGTTTTCCAGGAACCTGAAGCCAGGCATGGGAAAACAATATACCCTGTCTTCAGATTCTTACTTGCTAAGGATGTGACAGAACAGCCTTTGCTTTCTCGTTAATTTAGCCACCCCTGCTGGCAGGTGAATCCAAACAGGAATCATCAGGCAGAGTGCACCAGCCTGCTGTTTGTGAACAGTAACTCAACATTCTCTACAATGTTAACACTGGCTAATGTATCCACTGATTGTATACAACACATAAAGACAGAAATCAATACCATTAGTCCTGTGATAGAACTAATGAAAACTATCTCTGTAGTTTTTACCTGTGCATATGGATTCTGCTGCGGATAGGCACTTCGAACCGGATATACTGCAGTTTGGTAGGGGTTGGGTGATGAGGAATAGGGGGGCACTGCACCACTGGTGGGTGAACAGGAGACTTTATATGGTGTGCCTGGAGTATAACCTGAATAAAAACAGAAGCAACTGAATATAATTTTTTGCGGAGCTATCTAGATCTTAAACTCCTGTACACAAATAGATAGATGAACTGCACAAATCTATAAAGCTTCCATGAAGCCATTCTATATTCCATTCTAACTCATCTATGTGCTTTAGTAACTTGTGACAATGAAACAGATTCATAAACAGCAAGAATTAGTAAGATCAATTATTTTCTAGTAAATCAAATGCGGTAAAGGGAATCTGCTGTTTGGACCTAAACATACACTAGTAAAATAATCAAGATTAATCAAGAAAGCACTCAGGTTGTAGCATTTAAATAAATTAAAATAGGAATTGAAATGATGATTCATCTTTGTTTTTAGTAGAAAACCATGGATCATGACCATTAAGATTTTGCATGTCTGTCTATTTTGCAAAATTTATAGCAGCTGAAATTAGATGTTGTAGCCTGTTTTGGGATTTTTAGTACAGATTCATGATATTGCCACTGAGTAAGTAGCATTCTTACTTATTAACTTATACAGTCAGTGTAATTTAGAGATGATATTTGAACTATTAAAACTTCAATTTAAGCATGTTCTGCAATACTGACAAAGCAGGTATAATTAATGGTGTAATCCTGTAGAACATTAGGCCAGCTGGAAAAAAGAATACTACTACTTCTACACTAGGGTCTCATTATGCCACTGCAATTTTAAATCAAGCCATTATAAGTACAATGGCATAAGAGTGAGGGAAACTTGACTCCACTGGTGCAGTCCACATAGTCTTATTATAATGTAGCATCAGGTCCTGCCATCCTGTAAATGTAGAGTAGAAAGTAAATGCACATCCATAGGGAATACAGAAGAAACCACCAGATTGAGTAACCAATCACAGCACTGGGAACCACAGCACCAGGAATGTATGAACCACAGCAAGGAAAAACAACTTATTTAACAATATGTACAGAAAGGAGGAGTTGCATCATTCTGTCAGTGTGCTCCTTGTTTTCTACACAAATGGGAACTTTTGTGAAATGAGGCAAATTATATGCAAATTAGCACTCCCCACGGTGTGGAGAGAAATGAAGGACAGGTCTTATCATGACTCTTTAAAGGATCCTTCCCCAAACTGAACTGATCCAGATGTTTTGGACACTGACAATGCTGGGAAGGATGGGAAGTCAAAAACATCTAAAAAGTATGAGGTTATGGAAGGATGCCGTACAGGATTACTTCACTGGAATTCAAATACAAACATTGTCAAAGAACTTCAACTCTATTGCTGCAGGACCCTTTGTAGGAAATGTGGTTGGAAGCATATGGCATCCCATACAGGTAAGCAGGAGAACTTTACAGTGAGAAAACCATGCCTCAAATGGCTCCTGAACACTTTCCATCTTCCCAACACTGAGAGACATTAAGAAAACGGATGGTTGTACAAAGCCACCAAACATGTAGAATATATAGCTTGCTGCCCCATAAGCACTTGAAGAATTCTTACAGTCAACAGCCACTAATATTAACTACTGTTGCCATCTCTCTCAACAGATAACTAAGCAGCCATTCAATGGCAGAGGCAATTTCCAGTACCAAGCATGGCATATGCAAGGCCTACAACAGGAACCAGTCAAAATCAATGATTCCTGTGAGGTTGTCATGTTTTATTCTTACTGGATTCCTCTGCTTTTCCAAAGTACATGGTAGGCAAATATGAGAGATGCAGCAGTACCAATATGTGCATGCATTGTTCCTGCAGATGAAGGAAAGCTGCATCTGTTATCCCTCTGCCTGTCATGCAATACTTTCAGACACAAGCCCTGCAACATCAAAATGTCTGGCAACCAGTTCCTTTTTAATAGAACACACTCCTCCATGGATGCCAGCAGATCACCAGATGCTTTTAAGTGATTAACGTCTATAAAACGTCTCCATATGTACCTGTTTGGAATGTAGGATTTGCTGCAGGATACATGTTAGGAGAATAGGCAGGAGCCGCAGCTGCGTAGCCCATTGGAAATCCAGCTGAGAAGAAATGGTTAGAAGTTACCTTCAGAATTTCCTACAGTATTTGATTAATACTGTTTGCCAAGCAAGCTTAACACTAATTAAAATAACTGTGATTTCTCTGAAATATATCTTAGTGATGTAGTTAAGTCCATAATTGATCCTAAGGGGCTTCACACCATAAACCTTCTGGGTAGGGAATACATTACTATTATATTTAAACAGTCTTTAGCAAAATTGTTGACAAATAAATGCCACAAGAGAAATCATGGCATCAGCTGCTAACCATTTCCTCCCAATCCATTTTATGCCAAAGTTACATGTCAAGTTGTTTGACTAAAAGCTGAACATATTATTTATTACATTTATAATCTGCCCAATAATAAATGTTCTCTGGACAGATTATGAACAGTTAAACTAATGAAAGGACAATATATGCTTGAATAAATTATGCCATCTGAACTGCACTGGGTTTTTTCTAAGGCACAACAGAAACAGAAGAAGACTACATACACAGAGTTGTGGTTTGTTGGTGTTTCTTAGAAAACCTGTACCAGAATCTTTCAGGCAGCTTCAATTATAACATATCTTAATTATTTGAACAAACATTTCTGGTATTTCCAAAATCTTTATATAAGTATGACCCCGTATGTTTCCGGAGTGAATGCATAGTTAAAAACAACATAAAAACAAACAACCCAACTCAAAAACAAACAAACTAAAAAATTCAGAGTGCTTCAGTCTGCCAAACCAACTGAAATAAACTCTAATGTGCAATGCACAGAGAAATCCTCTACATCTACTCCTTAGTCTCACCAAGTTTAATGAAACTTGAACTCAAAATTAGGGTGGATTTGATTTTAATCAAATTGATTTAAGACTAGTTTTAAGTCATTGTTTTCTACATAATTTGCATGCTTTCCTGCCTCACCCATAGGTAGAAGAACTTTATTAAAATATCTCCAAACTGAGGCTCCTTCACTACCTGCTGTCATTACATGTTCTCTCCTCCAGGAAAAGAATAATATGATAAACCTCAGGCTATGCACAAAAAGATTCAAAGTCTTATTCTGTATTCTGTTCAAAAGGTTTCAATTTCATTTTTATTGCTAGCCCCTCCCTTCTCACATTTAGCTTCTTGTGCAGATCTATTCCATTCCCAACAACCTACTTCTATTCACTGATTATTATTTTTTTTTAACTTAGAACTTAGTAAGTAAGAGGTTGATCCTGTGCACATAGATTTGAAAAGGAACAATATGATTAAGGTCTTTTTCTCAACTCTGTTTATTTTATAACAATTTTGCTATGAAGAGACATGTGATCTCTGCAGACAAAATTTCACAGTTTTGAGAACTGTAAAACCAAGGATCTGTGATAATGTTCTCTAGATAGAAAAACTACCCAATAATTTTACAAAAACCTTCTGGAAGACCATGACATTGTAAATGGATTAATGGAATTAATTTGCCAAAAAAATTTAAACATTGCATGAATATACAGCCTTGTGCTACATCATTAAAAATTAATCCTTATTGCATGATAAATAACTTTTAGACTTTAATGTATCTTAAACAGAAAACTATCTTTATATAGATTTTTCTTCAAAAAGCATTTTATTTAAAAAAATCTAATTTAAATAAAAAAATCTGATTTAAAATTTAAAAATCAAAATTTTGTTTTGTTTTTTTTCAAATCATTTATCTTTATCCACCCTGCTCAAAATAGGGTGCACAGATTTGTAGTCATAGCTATTGTTTAAAAAACCTCCAAAGGCTATGTCATACAATATGTGCTATGAATGATCGCATGCTAGCATCTGAAATGGCTTATCTGTCCCATTGTGTGTGTTATACATGCACTAACTAGGAAGCTGTGATCAAGCATGAATGCCAGTCAGATGAACACATTATGACAAATGTGTACTCATAATCTTGTGTAAAGCCACTCCAGCTACCCCCAGGCAAAGTATTCCAAAGAATCTCTACAAAGCCAGATGTATTCACTTCCTCATTCTGCTAAATTATATTTTTAGATATTTGTGACTAGAGGACTGAGATTGTGACGCATTCTGTTCCCCTTAATACACAATGACAAATACACTTAAGGCACAATCCTGTGTTACGTTTTGCCAGAAAGAAGTGGTGTATCCCTTAGCATGACCAGCCAACATAGCTAGGTCGTGTTGACAGAACTTTTTCTGGTCTAATTAGAACTGGATCCTTACAGAGCAAACTTACACTTACCCAAAAGCTAGCTAAAGGGCCTTGGCAAGTGTGCTAAATGCCACCTCACTGCTGCTCCACTGGCTATACAAGCTTTTAATCCTTTAAGCTTTGGTATCCTGTTTGAAGATTAAAATCAAGGTGCTTTAAATGTATTCCTAGAAGAAGTCATCACTCTGAATTGCTCAAAGTGAATTATTAAGTTTTATTATTCATCCAATAGACACTATCAACTGGGACAGTTTTTATGTACCACTGGGTAGCAGAAATCCTTGTTGTTTAAGACAAGTCTATGCTGGAGAGTAGGGGATCTCAATAACTTGTCCTCAAAGAATCTTTAGAAAGTACTAACAAGCACTTCATCTTATACTCTCGCCCCAACTTTTAAAACTTGGAGATATTTTAACAGTAATGAAATACTAATTTGTAAATCCTTAATATTTACAAGAAGACTAATACCTGAAAGGAAACTATTCTAGTAGGATATTCTAGCAAATTCAGCACATCTAAATGAAGAAATAAACTGTTATGGTCATATACTGGTAGAAAGGGATGCTCGTTTACTTTGTATTAAGTTCAAGATAGAACTTAAGCATGTGTCAAAAATATATTTCTATCTGTGTGGCTTCCTTTCAAAATACAAGCAAGATCATATACTGCTTAGTCTATCAGGTGACTAATTCAACTGAATAAATTCTGGCAGATTACTAAACTACATGAACTAATTTATTTTGTTTAGAACTATTCAAGTAAGAAACCCAAGTGATCTGGCCAAAACATGTTGAGATTATTTTGAACACTAAGTCTACAGTGTCATATACATTAGATGAAATGTGACAATCATGATACATTAAGTAATTAATTGTCCATATGACAATGAAGATTAGTTAATTTTTAAGCAACAACAATCAATTTCAGACATTTAAAACAATGTCATGCAGTTTTCTCAAGCAAAGAGTTAATCCAAAGCTGTTTCCATTCTGTTCACAAACTGAAGAGAGTCAGAAGAAGGCACATAGCACAAAATCAATTCTGCATTTTTAATCTGCCATTATTTGTTGCACTGGCCAATACATAGTGTATTTAAACAGATACTTTTTATTTTGTTTTTTAACTTGCTCTGAGACATCAGAGTCTGAGTTTTTTGTGCTTGTGGATGATCAGAACAAATGTTTCAATTTTCATTATTTGTAATAGCTGCTTTTAAATACAAGGTGGGGAGTGTTTGATTTTTAATTGTGGATTGGTTTTGGTATTTTCCACATTCTTCCTTCTTGTCTTGTGCTACCTTTTGGTTTTAAGCTATTTGTTGACCACTGGCAGGCCTCACAGGAGAATTGTTGGGTCAGGACAACAAAAGAATGACAATACTTAGCCCCAATTTTCTATTTGAATACATGTAGTCTACAGCAGTATTCGACATGCTGATGCATGCAGCTTTGATCATCTGCCACCAAGGTGCTAGTTTGAGGGTAACCTATCCTCTGCCATTCAAACTGCAACTTGAAATAAGAATTACCTCAGTATCCAGTTTTATTAACAGAGAACACCAAGATAATAAGTTTAAGAACTTCAGTTACATACCTGGATAACCAATTCCTTTGGCATTTGCATAGGGAACTCCAGAAGATCCAGGACTATAAACAGGATTCATGATTTCAGTAACTGTAGGAAAAAGTCATTTGTTTAGAAAATGGGCAAGGTTTCTAAGATCAATGCTCAAACATCCTATGAAGTAGCAGAAATTCCTATTTTACCTGTCTTCAACATTCTTAGCTACCACAGTTCTGCATGTGTGTCACAGAGCATCTCTTTTAAGAAACTATTTATATCAATCACTTAATCTTGGTAACATCTAGTGATGTTAGATAATATTAAACATTGCTATCTAAAAAAAGAACTATTTCTCAGAGTGGAGCTTAATTTATACCAGGGAGGAAAAAAGACATATCTCTATTAGTGCAATACTAAGCACATTTATTCAACCATTATGCTTGGCATTGAGTCAAAAAAACACTGTATATAAGAACACTTCACACAGATAAGACTGGCTAGGATTTCATTTTGACACTACTTTCTGGAAGAGTTATTCAAACTCTTGTTCTTCTTTAGAGAACATTTATTTTATTAAGGCAAGAAGGGATCACTGAAACTCTCACATCCCTTTGCAAAACTTCAAAGGTCTTCATGCAAATCTAGAATTTGCCTATAGACATAACAAAGCACTTAACTTGCATTACTTGTTGCTATCAAGTGTTCTCTGTTTTGTGAGGTATACCAGCTGAAAAACCTACAAACGCTACATAAGAGATGCTTGTTGTGAATGGAAGCAGTTCAACTACCTATGCATGGAACTGTAAGAACCAGCACTCTACAGAATTGTTTGAAAAATTATTGGAGTCTTCTTAATGGTATCTAAAGCCTGTTTATGCAGTTGACGTGGTATTTTATTTTCAGTCATAGTAAACAAATATGCATTACTTTCATGAAGTATCAGGAGAAGAGACAAGGAAAATAGATGAGTTTTAGCCATTTCATGCTTACAGTCAAACTCTCCTAACTCATTGTGCTTATTTCATTAAACAATTCAAAAGCACCTACTGTAGCGCTGCAGCCTTTCCCTTGTAAAGAGAACCATACTGAATTCCTTCTCAAATTGATACATTTCCCCAGGATTTTGATTTTATTTATTTTATTTCAGCCATGAACTTCACTGTAAAATATAAAACTTTATCGAATGCCATTATTAAATTAACATAAGGAATGTTGAGAGCTGAAGAACTGATGTTTTTAAATTGTGGTGTTGGAGAAGTCTCCTCAGAGTCCCTTGGACTGCAAAGAGATCAAATCAGTCAATCTTAAAGGAAATCAACCCTGACTAGTTCTTAGAAGGACAGATATTGAAACTGAAGCTCAAATACTTTGGCCACCTAATGAGAAGGAAGGACTCACTGGAACGGACCCTGATGCTGGGAACCATTGAAGGCAAAAGAAGGGAATGGCAGAGGTTCAAGTGGCTGAATGGGGTCACTGGGGAGGTGGGTATGGGTTTGGGTGGACTCCAGGGGAGGGTGGAGGACAGGAGAACCTGGAGGAATGGTGTCCATGGGCTTGCAAAGAGTCAGACATGACTTTGCTACTGAATAACAACATAACATTAACAATCCTTTGTTACTGAAATTAGGCTTTTCATTGCATCATTGCTGGGAGAAAGATCTTGTCCTCAAAACCTAATGTTCAAGCCCCATGTCCAGTAAGTTTTTTTTAGCCAACGGCAAATATGGACAAATACATCAATCATCATCAACTACATTTTAAAACTTTTATTAAACTATGTGAGTGATAAAGGTCTACCGTGAAAATTACTATTATAGTTGTATACATATTCAATAGTTGCTGCTGATATACTAGATTAACTTCATAACATCCCACCTACATGAGACTTCACTGCAGTACTAAGTACAGAACTATCCGATAAAAGGCTGTGGGGTAGAGTTACGCATGACTTGGTTATTATACTACAATCATATGCATGTATACTCAAAAACTGAATGGTGGCTAATGGGACTTGCTCCTTGTTAAGTATGCTAAGGATTGTAGCCTGAATTCACTGGAGATCCTTCTTGCTTTATTTTAGCAATGAGGTATTTGGAATAAGAAGAGTCATGCTGAATTAGGCTAAAGATATTTAACAGTCTGTTCCTATGGTGGCCAACCAGCTGCCTAAAGGAAGCCTACAAGCAAAAAGTAGATGAAATAGTACCCTCCCACTTGTGCTGCCTAGCAAACAATATTCAGAGGTATACTGTTTCTGGTACTACAGCCAATACATAGCCATCAAAGCTAGCAGCTATAGATAGGCTTATCCTCCATGAATTTGTTTAACTTTCTTTGTAATTTGCATTATGAGAATGAACCTTGGGCTCAACTATTGTTCCCTTCAGCTCTCCTGGAAGAGACCACCAGTTTATTTATTTAAATATTTATAAACCATGTTTATGGACTAAATTCACCAAGGTAATAAAGAAAATGCAAGCATAATACATACTATTTTAAAATACAAAAAACTAGCAATACATTAAAAAATAATTCACATAGTCTAAAACAATTTCAGAGCCACAGCAACAAAACAGTAGAAACAGGTAAATGAAAGGTGTCCGAAACAGGTGAACTTCAAGCTTTGCTAAATACTGCAACTAGGGGTGACGGGCCATCTTCATATCTCTTACTGAAGAGCTGATATTGGAAAGAAGGTCTGGCCCTAGTACCTACCGAAATACCGTACCTTACAAGCAGGCTCTAAGAGGCTTCCTGCACAGGGCTGGTGGCTTCTCAGGGTGAGTTGTGCTCTCTTGCCCACATCATGTGGCACTGCTGATCCCAGCAGAGAAGGGGTGCTTGCGACCCCCCTCTCTGTCAGGATTGGCAGCAATGGTGTTCTCCTGTCCAGAGGAGGCCAAGCAGGATGTGGCTCATTCCTCTGTCCAGCACAGATGGTAATCCTGGCAGAGAGCGGTTGCTTGAGAGCAATTCCTCTCTGTTGGGACTGACAGCAGCGCACAATGGCTGCTGGAGTTCTTGCATGAGGCAGCATCTCCCCACACACTTAGTGATATTGCCACTGAGAAGATGCTGTATGAGGTGAGTGGGTGAAGGTGGGTGGACATGCTATGGGTCAAGTAGGGCTCTAGAGGAGGCAGAGCAGAATATCATTTGGCTTCAACATCTGGTGCCACTGCAGAGCAGCTACCATGTCAGAAAGGAGCAGCACAGTGAGATGGCACTGCTGCTGATCTTGGCAGAGGTGACTTGAACAAGCCACCAATGCCAAATTTGGGTGCTGTGCTTCTAGCCCTCACTGTTGCTCATAAGGTCTAATCAGAAGTTGGGATGAGGGTTGTCAGTGAGTTTTGCTCCCCTCGGTGTTCCTGCAGTGCCGGAGATACCTGTGCCCAGTCATTTGTCTGGCATATGGGGATCCCAGAGGAAGCAGCAGCACAAGGTGGTTTATCAGCCACCCTGTCTTAAGGTGTCATGCAAATTTGTCCAATATGTTCTGACCATCTGCTTCCCACTACCACCAGAGTAGCTGCATTCTGCAGCATCTCAAGTTTCCAAGTTGTCAAAAGCAGCTCCACAGAGATTGCATTTCATTAGTCTGGTCTCGATATAACTAGTGCATGCATGACAAAGGATCAATGACCTTACTCTAGGTAGTACTGAAGCTAACACAGACACCTCAGCTGGTAAAAGGCAGGCCTAGTCACCAACATTTCATCTCAGACAGTGCTGAATACAGAAAAACTCCCATACTGCTAACTTGCTCCTTTGAGGGTATGCAACCCTGTTCAGAACTGATTGCACTCCTCTACCCAGATAAACCAATTTCCCTAACAAGAGTAGCTGCTTGCCTGCATTAAACTTCAGCTTGTTTGCCCTCCCCCAACACCTGTGATTTTATTTTCAAATGGATATTTAACTAATTGAAAGATGGATAGCTTATTTGTGTATGTGCACTCCCACATATATGGTATTTTTATGCTATGGGGAGAAAGCTATTCCATTTAAACTAGCAGCTATCCCAGATATTGTATAATTGCAGATATTGCACATGCTGAAGCATTTTCTGGAGTTCAATGGCACTCTTCTGGAATAAATTATAAGAGAATCACTGCCTCTGTATAATGACAGTATAATGATATAAAATATAGTTTGAAAAACAATAGTTATGATTCATAGGTATGCAGAAATGTATATACAACAGAGTTCTTTTCACTATTACCTCAGGAACTTTCAAAGCTGAACAAAGATACTTACATGTACACATATTATAGAATCTAACACCACTATCACAGAAGTATCAGTGTTGTCTCACAAATTTAACTGTAAAACCATGAATGAATAACCGAGTGCAGGTGAAGATGTTTGATAAACAGAAGTACAGCAGGACCACCATATCCCCTGGCTCAGTAACCAAGTTTTTAGTAAACTATGGTTTACTAAACTCAGCTCAGAAGAGAAGTTGTAAAGTGCTGTAATGTGCCAAAGTAAGTACTGAAATAAGAGTGAGCAAAATTGGGGAAAATAAATTTATACAGTTTAAGCTTAGAGTCTATAGTTTATCTGAGTTTATTGTGCAGCTCACTAGTTACCACTGCCCATGGGTGCCTGCCTGCTATTATATAGTGTATTGTATAGTGTTTGCTATATCCATGGTTATCCATGGTTTCAGGCATCTGCTGGGGGGCTTGGAACCAATCCACATGGATACGGGGGTCCTGCTGTATATGTGCGTTATTAAAAAACAAAACAAAATGCCAGACTCCTTTCAGTCTAAAGGATTAACCACATATATTGCACAGAAAGCACTACTTGAAGTGATGCTGTTTTATGAGCTTGGAAGTTTTATGACTCAATTAAAGGCCTTTCTACAAGATTATATTTGAGCAGACAGAGAGTCTAGTCAAATTAGCAGGGTGCTACTATCAAAATCTTGCATTTTGTGATTACATGTTGTCTCCTAAGTTTTTGCAAAATGTAAGTAGTCAATCTAAATAACAATGTGTATTTGACTAGATTTTAACTTTATCAGATGATAAAACACAAGTGTTGTGCTGTTTTAATTAAGATGCAAGGAAAGCACCCTGCTTAAGGTAAGCTACAGCCACAGTAGATCTTCCAGTAAGTTACAGGGATGACACTGGTACATCTCCCAGTAAGTCATAAAGTCAGAATGCTTGCTTCATGGACCATAAAACTAGCTGCCTGGAACTAGACATGCAAAGTTTCCAGAAACATTGAAGCCATGGCAGAAAGAATGAACTTTTTTTCCCAGATGGAAGATATCACAGACCTTGTGGGGAAAACTAACATATTGTCTGAAATAAATACAATGTTTACTTTTCTATCAAACCTACGTCTGGACCTATTTGAAGTCTGTTTCTATGTGGAACAGTATATAAATGTTGTAAATAAGTAAAGTGAACTGCTTCAACAATGTAAAATATATTGATTATAACTAAGGGTCTAATCTTATGGACCCTGGAAGAAGATTTGAGAACAGAGTTGGAAATCTGACTGTACGGCATTTTGAAGTCAGAGTTTGGACTCTGACCATGGAGTGCTCTCCCTCTACCCTGCAAATGATGCAGTTCTTTAGGTGCTGGCTAAGTCGTCACATGTGCAACTTTGGAGCCAGTGTGATAGGGAGGAGTGAGGCTCTTCTAGGAAACAAGGATCCCCCAACAATGTCTCAGCCCCTCCCCACTGCAGGCAGGGCCAAAATGTCTTTTGCAGGGCAGGGGAAGCAAGGAGGCAACCCTTCCAGTACATCACTTCTGAGCTTGACCAAGTGCCATAATCCTCCAAGTTTAGAGGTTGTGGACAAACACACTGGATGGTGCCCTTAGTTAACAAAAACTACAATATTTATAAAACTTATCTAACCTATACAATTCTGCTACTGGTATATTTATGAAATTTACAAAGACATTTTAATTCAATTACTTTTAGACCAACTTTTAGGATATAAACTTTCATATACCAGTTTACATAAAATAATGCTGTCTACGACTATCCAGAACTAAGAACCATTCTGTTCTCTCAAGTATGTGAATGCCTTACATAGGAACATTATGTAAACCCAATATATATACACATATATAAACCCAACACTAGATACAAAGCTGCAAACAATACACAGGAGGTATTAAGCAGGGCCAAGGCAGCAACAATAAAGTTAGTCAGGCACTCAATTTATTCAAGGGCTCATCTATGGCATATGCCTACACATGTGTCTTTTCAAAAGTCAGGTTAAACCATCACTTCCAGATAGAGGGCACTTTCTAAATTGTCTGGATGTCATTTTATAGCTATAAAGAGTACAAAAATCCCCACTTCTCCAGCTTCAAAGCAAAGTTAGAGGCATGGTATTACCTAAACCAGCAATGTTTTATTTAGCACTATCTGCTTTAAATCCTTTATGTTGTCTTTATGTTAATTTAAAGATTAACATTAAAGCAACTCTCAAATTGCATGGAATAATAATCTAACCAGAAAACATGAACTAATTCTTCAGCTTATCACTTCATTAAAAGTATTTTAATAGTGGTCTAAAGCAAATACTATCAGGCTATTGCAAATCACTTAAAGGGGCTTATAAGCTCTCCACTTCTACTGTAAAAAATAATGATGGAGAAAGCTGGGTAAAAACAGAGACACATCCTTAACTGCACATGGATGTACAGTTTATATTTTGAAATAAAAGCAATATAGGTGATTGGCTTAAATACTCAAAACCTTCTCATTATTTTGAATAAAAGCCTACTTTAAGACTAGATATCTGACCCCCCCCCCCCATTTACATGGGTTTCTGGTGTTATATCTTTCTTAAAAGTATGTCCAAATTGTGCCATCCTAATAGGAATATCAAAGTCCTGCATAAAAAGACTAGCTCAAATAGCTACACAGGGATCCCATTTAAAAAGTATCTACCATTCACACTAAGACAACATCAGGGCTGCTTTGAACAAGTTACAAAGCAACATATGCAAATACACTTGAACCCCTACAGCAAGCTATTCCCAAATCAGTGCTCTAAGTTTAGGGTACAATCACCTGCATAACAGGTTAATTATTCTTAAGAAATACAGTAGGTTTGATGGTGTGCATGTATACACAGTCAAGGTTGAGTGGTGTCTAGCACTTTTCTGTATGCTAGTTTGAACTTAAATCTCACTGAAATAAGAGAAAATGTGCTGCCTGGCCCTGCACATTTATTTGGAAACAATGCATTACTGATTTCAATACAACTTATTCCCAGGTTGGCGGTCACGGAAATGCAGCCTTACAATATGCAAATCCATGCAGCCTACTCGTATTTTCAGTGATGGACCCTGAAAGATCGGCAGCCAGGGTAATGGGTGCAATTTTCTTCCTCAGCAACCACCTCAAATTTAATGCAAACCCATTTTAAGTCTTACATGCCATTTTCTTTGTCGCCGCTGAATGCCAGTGAACGCCAGCGTAGAGTAAGCGGCCCAAGCAAGGCCAAGCGAGGCGGCCAGATTCAGATCTTCCTGAGCCCGAGGAACTTACTTGGCCAGGCCTACTCGCCCCACCGCTCCTACAGCTAGGCCAAGAAAAGCCTTTAAAGTGACCTCTCCTGCTCAAAGGGAGGGAAAGAGAAACGAGGGTAACCCAGCGCGCCGGCACAGCATCGCCTTAGAGAAGCGCTATTAAATCGAAAAAGGAGACGCCGAGAAGCGAAAGCAGCTGGCTGCTCGCCTTCGGGCGGGCCGAGCCGCTCAGGGGCGCCCGCGGGCGCGGATTTAGCGTTCCGCTTCGACCGAGGCCTTGGCTCAGCCAAGCATCCCTGGCCGGGGCCTTGAGCGGAGCCTTCGGCGCCAGAGAGGAAGGAGGCCAGAAGCAGGGGAGGAAACCCACAGCGCGGCCCACAGGCGACAAAGGCCGGGGCGGCAGGTGTGAAAACGACCGATAAATCCCCCTCCCCTCGGGGCGGCGGAGGAGGCGGGGAGGGGCCGAGGTGGTGACGGCGCTCGCTCGCTCGCTCACCAAGCTGCGGCGCTTCGTTGCGGCGGCCCCAGCCCGGCTGTCGCTCTCTCGCTCTCGGGGCCTGAGGCGGGAGGGGGCCGAGCCTGGGCGGGGGCTAGTGCCGCCGGGAGCTGCCGCGACCACAAATCCAAGTCCCTCCTGGCTGCACCTTTCCGTCGCCCTCGTCCGCTCTTCTCCGGAGAACTGCGCAGCAACCGAGCGGCCCAGAACGTCACATCCGCCCGTCGGCTGGGTGCAGAGGATGGACGACGACGGCCGCGCACGTCTGAAGCCCCCACAGGCAAGCACAAAACCGCCGTCACGTGCGGGGGGAGAGGGAGTCGGCTGCCCGGCCCCCCATCACGTGGCCGGGGAGCTCTCGCGCCCTGTCATTCACCTCTCCTCTTGCTTCTGCAAAACAAAGAATAGGCTTTGGTTTCTTTCCTCTGTTTAAAGCTCCCCGATGGTTATGTGTAGGAATTTAGGCACACGGCTTGCAAGATCAAGGAGTGCTGCAATTCTATACACATGCTGCACCTGGTCTGCTGTCTATTCATTATTTGCTGGTGCTACTTCTTTGATAGTCGCCACTTTCTAATTCATTTGTTTTCACACTATATCTCAAGATTTTAATTCAGGTTTTATACTTAACCCCTTTGAGTGCCATTCTTTGGCAGAGCAGTAGGATATAAATAAAATGCTTGCGAGTAAAACCAATGCAACTCAGAAGGGTTTACCTTTGATTAGACCTGCACAGGGTTACAATATTCGAGCAGATCAGTCACCCCTGTAAGGCAAGGAATCATAATAATCAGGGATGGCAACAACAGGTAGGGCAGGTCATGCGAATAAGTATTTCTATGTGTAACTAAGCGTCAGAAGTTATTCCATGTTTATCGTTTATTCACACAATTATTTTATAGTCTTCAAATTTACAACAATAGCATGGGAAATATCATCCTGGGACATAGCTGCTTCAGGGGCCTGCTCTGTTCCTTCATACATTGCATGTTTCTTTCACTGAGCATATTCAGGTTGAGAAAGAATGTTCAAGGTAGGAAAAGCAAGCCATCCAGGGGTCCTTGGGAAAGCATCTCAGGGACCACAAGATGGCTTGTAAAACTCCTCTGAGCTTGGAGAGAGTGCTCTGACCCCAGAAGGGGGGGTCTTGTTCCCCAGACCTCTTCTCCAGAAGCAGTCCCTGAGAGAAGAGACTGGCTGCCTCTCTGGGGTCAGAAAAGCCGACTCAGTTAAGGGGCTAAGTTGGGGGCCACAAGGAAGAGGGCCTTCTCTGTGGCAGCCCCCCAATTATGGAACAATCTCCCCACTAAGACCAATCTGGGAAAAACTCTACTATCCTTTTGATAGTAAGTTAAGACTGCCCTGTATGCTGAGGCATTTAAAGGTTCTAAATAGCAAGAGGGGAGAGAGAATTATGTCAGCTGTTTAACTGGTCTAGCTGAGTCATTTAAACATTGGCTTTTAAATCTTTGTAGAGAAATTTTATGATGTTCTTACTGTTATTAAAATTTATACTGCATTTTAGTGTTTTACATGAATTATTGTACACTGCTCAGAATGCTTTGCCTAAGGAAAGTCAACTTGGCTAATGGACAGGGTAGAATTTTAATAAATACATGCATTTCAATTGTTAAAACATATGATCTGGCCTGGGCAACTTCTTCTTCCTTCTCTTTCTCATCCTATATTTTTATTTTATACTGATAATTTTAATTTTGTATTTGTAAATCAATGTATTTTTTGTATTTTTATATTTAATGGTAATTTATTATGTACTATTGTATTTCAATGTATTTTATCATGTTGTAAGCCGCCCCGAGGTTTTGGAAAGGGGCGGCATAGAAATGTTATAATAATAATAATAATAATAATAATAATATATAATAGCAGAACTGAATAAAATATTGAATAATGCAGCACAGTGTAGTTGGCTGTTACAGTTTGTGGAGACTCAGATTATACTCTATAAATAACTCACATGACATGGAGGGCTAGAAGACTATGACGATCATAGTAAACATTTAGAGAGGAAGTTATACATGCTTTTGCTGAGAACGTCTGACAGCTGGATATTGCTCCAGTAATCATTAGTGTGATTCTGGGGAAAACTCCTGTTGATAAAGTTACTTAGAAACAGGATTTTATCATTTTATTTTCAAGTCTCCTTGAATCACTGATTTTTATACATTGTAATTCTACTTTCCTGAATCATTATATTGTAAATCATCAGAAATCATAATTTGAGTACTTCTAAAATGTAAGGATCAACATGTATTCATTTTGAATTACATTGTCATAATCAGATTCTTGTATTTTTGGTCCAGTTATTTGTATCATTGGATAATATTTGCCACCAGTTTGTTCTGTTATTGTTATTATTTGCTTTTGTGGGAGATGCCATTTTTTGTTTATTTTGAAACATAACTATTTATTCATTTCATTTTTATAGCCAAGGGATCTCTTGGTGGTTAACAAAAGTTAATGTTTCCAAGTTTTAAAAAGTTACCTAGCTCTAACACAGAGTTAAGTATATTTGAACTCTGCAATTTCAATGGGCTTAAGGACAATTCTGTGTTGAACTGTGGCTGTAATGTTCTTCCCTCAGCTATTGACCTTCCATATTGGAGAATCAGATATGAGATAAACACTCCTTCTTGTGTAAATAAATGTATATTTTTGAGGCACATTGCTGTGAATGCAAGTCTTAAGCAAAGCTTGCTTTTTTTTTTTTTTTTTGGCAAGCTTAGCTTTTTAATTCTAGAACACTGGTGCTTGCTGGTTATCCTCTGAAGGCAGATGTTGTTGCTCTTTGCATGGCCAGCAGGCAGGTTTGCAAACATATAAACATTTCCCCAATTTTCTACTATACAAAAAAAAGTTTTACAAACTATGTTTCATTATGTCTCCTAACTGTAGGTCTTGAAAGCAAATCCATTTATCTGAGAAATCTTTTCTGTTACCCTCTCCTTATGGACAAAGAAGAATAAAAATAGAGAGCTGCATTGGGAATCGCCATTTTAATCCTTCTCACTACCTTCCATTTTCCCCTTGGATGAGCACCTGCTAACTAAAGATGCAATGGAAGCTTGCATGATAGGATCATGGACAAGAGTCTGCCTTATTCCTTCTATTCAGGGGTAGGCAACCTGGTTTTACCTAAACATTTTGGACTACAACTCCCATACTCCTTTAGTTTACTGGTTGGGTCTTATGGAAGTTTCAGTCCAAAAATATATGGGGAGAGCACCAAGTTGTCTATCTCCACTTTACATCTTGTGCCAGGAGAATGAGTATATTAGGACACAATACAATTTAATAATTAGTCTTGGTCCAGATAGTTGTACTACCACTAGCATCACTGTTCTATATGTTTTATGTGCACATATGGAACATTCATGAATGATCATGGGTGTGGGGAGAGAAAGCTGCTTGAGACTATCACCTATGCATATTGAGAATTCTGTACCCAAACCATTACTTGCAGCCCTCGTAAAGGTTGCTGGGGTGTAACTAATATGCAGTTTTGTACAGCACTGAAAATTCAACAGAATTCTTACTACATTTATATCCTGCCTTCTTTCTCTTGTGAGGAACCCAAGGCAGCTTGGTAATCCACTCCATTTTCACAACAACCCTGTGAGGTAGGTTAAGCTAAGTGAGTGACTGGCCCAACTCAGCCAGCAAGCTTTGCAGCTGAAGTAAGGACTAAAAAAGCCTGATCTCCCAAGGTCCCCGCTCCACCACTGTAACCACCACACCACACCACACCACACCACACATGCATGCTATATACAGGAAGGTCCAGATCAAGCAGACCTCCTTTGTACATGCTTATGAAGGAGAGCAGGTGCACAGTGAAGGTTTTTATTTATCCCTGCTCTTTTATTTATCTGCATTTATTTAGCCCTGTAGTTAAATCTCTTCAGAACCCGCCTTCGTTCGGAAGATACTGGTCATCCTACGTATTTTCCCTAACAAAAGCTGGGGCCCTGCGGCATCCCTTGGTACATTTGCCTAGTGCTGCAATCCTAAACACACTAGGCGTTTAGGATTGCAGCCTATCCACTAAGTCACACTGAATTCAGTGGGATCCTCTTCCAAGTAAGCATGACTAGGAAGGGCTCCCCGACCGCCTTTCTGTACTAAGACATTTTGCTTTGAAAAGTGCGAAAGCATAACCAGCGAGAAGTTGAGCAACTGTGCATCCCCCAGTTACAGAACGATCGTCCTTGGCACCTATACAAGAATTACCCCTTGACGATAAAAAGGAGTCATCATTTATTTATTTAATTTCTATACCGCCTCTAGCCGAAGCTCTCTGTTACCGTGCCGTAATGACACACTTTCCAGAAGCAGGACTTGTTTGAACAGAACGTTTGCCTAATCCACCTCCTTCCGTTTTGGGAACTACAAGTCCCATCCAATACCATGCGCATGCTCGGAAGCATCGAGTGACGCGACTGATCATGGGACTGGTCTGACGTCAGAGACCCGAGAGGGAGGAGGGCGTGAGTTTACCTCTTTCAGCAACAAGGAAGAAGAAAGCTGGAATTGCGGGGCGTTCGGGCGCTTTCCGACGTGTAACAGGTAGGCTTGGCTGGCCTCGCTGCGCCGCCTTGTCGGGGCGTCTGCCTGCCTCCTCTCCTCCCTGGAGGAGAGGGACGAGCGGGTGGCGTTGCTTGTCTAGGGCTAATCGTTTGACTGGGCTTGGGGGCTGCGCTTCCTGACCGCCGGGAGCGAAGGGCGCTGGCGCGATCCTTGATGGTCTGAGACGAGCAAGGGTGGGATGAAGCAGGAAGGGCGAGCGAGAGCCAAGCGGGAGCCCTGCTGGGGCGGGCAGGGCGGCTGGCTGCTGGCCGCGGCTTGTCTAGACGAGCCAGGGTCAAATCCGACGAGGTCATGCCGTCGCGTTTTGTAATCCCAAGACTGGAACACACGCAGGACGCCTTGCTCGCCGTGGCGCCCCGTTCCCAGCCTTAGGGGAGGGCGCTGGTGTTTCCGCGGGCCGTTTTTCCTGCCTTCTGCCTGTCGGAGAATAGAGCAATCGGGAGTTGAAACTAGGGATACGGGGAGGTCGTCCAAATGTCAATCAGCGAATCCCTTTTGGAATGGAATGGCGAGCTCTTAAAAAAATTATAATAATAAACGCTGTTAAAACTAATGTTCCGTCGGATTGGATTTCTAGCGTTTATGTGAAGGAATTTAATTCAAGATCACCGTCTGGGGGACTGCTCTGCCTCTTAAGAAGTGCGTGACAAGCGAGGAAGAAGCCAGCAAAGAACTTCCTACTCTGGAAATGCCTAGATGGGGAAATCTTCACCTGATGACTATCTGCTTGTTACTAGCATGTAGCTGTTCACTTGCACCGGAGCCCTGTGAGAAAATAGAACAAAATTGGCAGCCCCACCATTAAGGGTGCAGTCCTGTGTATGTTGAAAGAGAAGAAGCTCATGGGCTTCAAGGACTGGCCTGGCTGCAGGGGTGTTGGCATTATAGGACATTTTCCTTCTGAACGTGTGTAGGATTTTTTTGGAAGTGTCCTAATAAATAACACTGTAAGCGCCACTAGTTTGGGATTTCTTTTTTGGAGCAAACACAGGGAATTAACTTGGTAGTAACCCCTTAACTACCAAGGTCCAACCTGGTCAAACCACCTTTTATTATTTATTTAATTTATCCACCATATTTTGAATTCGTCCAATAACAAATGCAATTTTGGCAGATTAAAAAGCTAAAGGTACAATCCTATGTATGCTGAGACAGGAAGAAAAGCTTAAAGCTCCAGCATTCCTCCTTGTGCTGGAGGACACCGGAAGTTGTTGAACTTTTTTTCTGCATAAACATGCATAAGGAAAATACCTTTCTTTGCTGTTTGAAAAGGTGATGATGCTGCCGTTTGTGTTTTGCTCCAATAAAAAGTAAAATGCTATAGTTTAGGGTATTAGGCTAACATTGTTGTGAGATTCTTAATGAAGTATGAACAGAGTATGATTGGGGAGGGGAGGGAATCCTTGATATCTTTGTGACAGAAAGGGTTGTGTTAAAATGGATGCTAGGAGGAAATGGATGCTAGTAGAAAAAAGTTAACATCTATTTCTGGCTTGTGAGGAAAACCCCAAGCAGATGGTGCATGTGATATAACTTGTGGCCTTGTTTATTTTTGATGGTGTCAGTTCTTCTCAAGCAGATAGAAACTGTGGTGTGCTTGGTGCCTCTGCCTTCTTAAGACCATACAATAATTTAGGGGTGAACTTAATTTGTTCTTCCAAATGATCACCCAAATTTTGTAATGTTGCCCTCTTTAGTTCCTTAAGATCACATTCAGCCCTACCTTAAAAATGTAATTGTGACCTATGTGTAAAATGAACCAATTGGTTAGCTCTGCAGGGAGTATCGCTGTGTAGCAGAGCACATACTTAATATGTGGCAAAGCCCTACCTGAGTCCTTGGAGGAATTGCCAGTCAAAAGGGAGCTTAGGGAGAGCCCCTGCTTTGCATGCAGATGTGCTCAGGTTCAGCCTCCAGTATTTACAGGAAGGGCTGGAAAAGACCAGTACCCTAAGTCCTGGAGGGATGCTGTCAGTCCGTATAACTGGTACTGAGCCAGCCAGATGGACTTGTAGTCTGACTCAATAAGTAACCGTTCCATATATTCATATATAAGGGCTTAGGTTCAAACAAAATTGTATTATGATGGACAGCATTTTAAGGTTAGCATGGTGAGCAGACTTGCTGGTGTGGTTTGGGGAAGTGGGGCAAAATAACTCAACCAACTCAGCAGCAAAAGAAGGCATGCTGTGTTTTTGGCTGAATTATTTGAGGGAGGGTGTAGGATGTGTATGAAGGACACAACAGAGGGAAAATGCTGTTCATATAAAGCAAATCGTCAAATCTCGATTTCTAAACAGTCAAAGGCATGTTTATATGGGTGCATTTCCCCCTGAGTTCAGTGGGATTGACTTAGGCTTTCTTAGGGCTGCAGTCTTAACCTTGCATTTGTAAATGAAGGTGTGTTCAGGCCTTCATCAGCACACACCCTTTTCTTGCTTTCTTAGGCCATCTCATTTTTCAGTTCTTATCAACTGAGTTAGGCCAGAGAGTGGTTGACTTTCCCCACGGAGGCTGCTGTTCCAAGTGTACGCTGACTAATGGCACACCCCAGCCAGCCATTCTGCAGGCTGTCTTAGAGGGAGATGAGATGAGAAGCTGGTGCATTTCGCCAGCCCTGCTCAATGGCTTTTCCTTCTTCCCCACCTTCCCCTTTCTTCCTTGTGTGTCATATCCTTTTTGATTGTAGCCTGCTGGCAGGGATCGTCTTATTTAACAATTTTTAAGCCACTCTGTGAGCCTGTCTTGGCTGAGGAGCAGGATAAAAACAAATAAAATAAACAAACACAGGCTGATAAGTCCCAGTGAATTTGCTCTGGAAAGGATTGACCTGCAGATTCAGACAGAAAAGCTTGGGTTGAATTTCTCATACTTCACTGCTGGAAAGCTCTTTCATTCCACGGGTGTCTGCTGCAGTTGCTCAAATGCTTGCCAAATTGCAAACCTATTGCAAGGTGGTTAATTCTAACTTGTGCTCCCTGGCACTTCCTCTTCTGCAAATAAGAGGACAAAGTGGCAGGTGTAGGGGAGGCTGTTTTGGGTGCATTAATTTATTATAATCATTATTATTCATTGTTTTTCTTGTAATCCCACTTAGTCACTCAAGGTTCTATTTGGGTCATATGTCCTCTAGCCCAGAATGTGACAATTTTGCAGTTTCTAGTTGTTCAGAAGCTGAAGAGTTCTGTGGTGATTTTCATTTTTTAGGGTCAAAACTGATTTACTTTAAATCCGTATCTTCCAGCTTCTCTCTGTCCTCATTTTTACTCAAGGGTAGATGCAAGGGATGAATCTGACTCTTAAAAGTCATCCTACACCTCCTTGCCATGCCTACCTTACAGTTAAAATGACAAAAGATATACTTGATAGTAGTGGATTTAAAGTAATATCTGTTGGGGCCCGTATAAGAATCCATTTCCTAATGGGAGCTACTGACATGGTGTAAAGGATTCCTGGGTAAGGCGCACTGCTTGGTGGTCACCATAAAGCAATAAATGGGCAGGAGACCTCAGATCAAACCATGCTGAGGAGTTAATGACATCCTAGGTGTTTCCGTGCAGATTGTCTTCTGCTGCAGATTCAACCACACGCTTACCCTATTAAGCGGGTCATCCTCGAACTTTAGACTATGAACCTAAAAAGCATATTTTCTGCATCATTACTGCTGGGTCGTGCTATATCAATGCTCATCATCTGCCTTCTCTCCCCAGCATTTGGTGATGGCGCTGGTGAAAAGTGGGTGGCTGCTGCGGCAAAGTGAGTAAGGAATCCTTTCAGCTCCCCCCTTTCTGTCTGGTTTGAGCGGCTCACGTGCTTCCCCCCCCCGCCCCCCACAAGGCCCATGGGAGGAGAGTGGGGTGAGGGGAAGAACTGCCCTGGGGAAAGGGTGGGTGCTTCCTTGCTTTTGTGGCTGCATGGAATGAAAACATAAAACACTGGAAGATCTGGCCTGGGATCCTTGAATGCCTCAGAAAAGCTTGGCAAAAAGTGAGGTTTTAAATCACATGATAACTAAAAACAAATGATTGCTAAAGCCTTAAGGGCAGCGTTTGTGGCCGCAAAGGAACACACGGATGTCCATCTAGAGCACTTGTCCAGGCATAACCCTTGACTGCCTGTTTTTTTTTACTAATAGCCAGAAAAATAGCCACCATAAGCCAAATGAAGAAAACTTTTTTGACATCCTGTGAACCTGAGAGGAGTGGTGCAGGATTAGGCCATATAGTCCAGCATTCTGTTCCCAGAGTGGTAAACCATATGCCTATGGGAGGCTCACAGGCAGGGATGTAAAAAAAGTGGAGCCATGGGGAAAGCCTGATTTTCCTAGGAATTGTAATGATGTTATCCTGTGCACAGGTTTTCATAAAAGGCTTCCTATTGCATAGTTCTTAAGAATCAGTTTTGGGGAGTAAAGGCCAAGTATCAGCATAGAAACAGAACATCTTAAATGTTTTATTAAAAGAAGATATTTAATAATTCTCTATTAATCTATGTGATATTCCTGTATTAAAAATAAAAAACCCAAGAAAATTGGCCCTTGCTTTTTTTTTCTAGTTCTTTTCCCTTATCTTCACATTTCTACCCATAAGCAAGACATGAATTCTGGACTACTAGAATGTCTAGAGAGTTTATAATTCTCTAGAGAGTCTTTTGGACTACTTGGTGGCATATAACAAATGAATGCAATAGCACCCTCCTGCTTGTGTTCTCTACCAACTGGTATTGAGAGGCATGCTGCCTTTGACCAAGTATTAAAATATGGCCACCATGGCTTGTAGTCATTGGTAGCCTTCCCCTCTATGACTTTGGGTAAGCCTGTTATCTTCTGCTAAAGCTGTCAGGGTTGATGGGCAACCCTACATCTCATGACTCCAAATTCCATAGTTTAGCTGCACACAGTGTGAAGAAGTAAATGCAATTTTCAGTTCCCTGGGAGTAAGGCTTATTGGCCTTGATAAAACTTACATATGCTATGACTTACATGTCAATTGTTTTTGAAATATATTGACATGTCAGAGAATGTCAATTCTCTGTCAATCCGAGAATGTCAATTCTCTGATATATTTCTCAGACATTTGGCTTACCTGCATGTCACACATGATCACTAAGGACAAAGAAAACTTCAAGCAATCTAAGCAATATGGAATTTGTTTTTAGGAAACAGGATATTTTTAGGAAATTCTGGAGCTTTTACTTTACAAAGTCCCCTTCTGCTCACTGACTTTCCTTACGAAGTATAATTTACTTGGCCGTTTCAGCTGGCAAGCAAGGAATGAGCATCAGGACAACATATTTCTTACTCAGCCTTTCTCTGCTCTCCTGCCATCATGTCCTGACTTCAGTGCTATGATCCTGATTTAAGAACACACAAAGACTTCTGCTGGATTAGACCAAAGACCTATAGACCTATAGGCATTCTATTCCCACAGTGGCCAGCTGGATGCATATTGGAAGCCCCTAAACAAGACATGAACAAGAACAAGCTCTTGTGCTCATGTGCTTTAGAAAGTGATATGCAGAGGTCTTTGATACTGGCATTTATGTATAGCTGTTATGACTAGTAGCCATTGATAGGTTAGCTAGCTGTTGTTGATAGATCTTGAACACCATTTTTTGTAGACAAGCAGGATATAATTATAATTAATTAATTAATCAACAGAGCATCCAGTTCTGAAATGGAGAATTCTGGTTTAGAATCAGTTTACAAACCAGGATCTTAAACCATGTGTAAGGGAGGCATTTGTTGAAATAGGAGTACTCAGGCCAGTGCTCATTTCTCAACTGGCAAACTGTAGTTTAGTAATCCAGGACTGTTACATCCATACCGGCCTATTATTTCCTGTTGAAAAGTACATTATTGTTTACATATATCTGTAATGTTTATCAGCTTTAAAATGTCCCATCACAAAAGCTAGAAAAATTTAGTAAGGTGATTACATGTTATACCAGTTATTTGTATTTTTCCTTTCTTAAATACAATAATTAATGAAAGATAAAAAGCCATATCCCAAGTGGACAGAGCAAGAATGTCCTCTAATCAGAGTTGTCCAAAATCTTCTCTCTATTCTTTTAGGTACTATATTACGCCGCTGGAAGAAGAATTGGTTTGATCTGTGGTCTCATGGGCATTTATTATTTTATGATGACCAACAGCGGCATGATCTAGAAGACAGAATTCACATGAAAGTTGATTGCATCAACGTCAGAGTGGGCAACGAATGCCGAGGTATGTGCTGCATGGCCTTGAGAGGGCAGCCCTTCCTGGCTGCAAATTAAATCCCATTCTCAGTTTCACGAGTATCATCTGTCAGTCCCTTGAAGATAGAAATAGCCTTGCCACAGTGAACTATGCACTGGTAACCTCATTAATGAAGGTATTGTGAGGAACTCTATGACAGGGTCTAACAACAGGCTAAACATGTTTCAACCCAGCTTATTTAGGGTTTAGTTGTGGCTTAGTGTGTCATTCAAAGCAAGACCGCATAACAAACCATGGTCAAGCAGAAAACCCACAGAGCCCCTAGTCAAGAGCTGCAGAAGGTTTGCCACTCTAGCCAAGTGGATAGCAGGCACATAATTGCCACTGCCTTTCCCAAAGCGCCAGGTTGGAACAGCCACCATCCCACCCTGGCATTTGCCGGGGAGGGGGGTGCTGGGTTAGCTCCCTTTCTCTCTCCTCGTTTTCTGCCCTTCGCCCTTCACTCCGCTGCTGCTGTGGCCAGTAGAAGCAATCACAGGGCTCCAGCTGGCTGAGCTCTCATGAGATCTGGCTGGAATGGCTGCCATAGAGGTAGCAAAGATACCTGTTTGGTCTGCAGCCACTGCATACACACACTGGGTGAGACTCTGCCCTGGCAAAGCAGCTGTCATGAATATCCCTATGCAGTATTTCTTGTCCAGCTGTATGTTGTACAAGGAACAACTTCCAGCTCTTGTGGGCTGGGAAAATGTCCTTACGTTGCATCCTTTGAGCTGCAGCTCTTGAGCAGGAAGGGGGTGGATGTATCTCCTCTGCTTGCCAGGCAGAGGATTGTGCTTTAGCACTAGTTAACCTAGCACTAGGTTTCCCCATTCTATGCTACAGCTTCTTCTGAGCATGTGTGTTTCTATGAGTTGAGCAATTTCGCTTCTTGTCACATGGCATGAAAACACTTCTCCATTTTTTTTCTCTTGGACAGGCCTCCAGTCTCCAGAGGGGAAACCTAGAGATTGCTTGCTGCAGATCATTTGCCGTGATGGGAAAGTGCTCAGCCTCTGTGCAGAAAGTGCTGATGATTGCTTGTAAGTGTCCAAGAGCTGCATCTTTTCTGTTTTGCTGCAGGTACAAGAATATCCCCTTTTAGAAGTCAGCCCTGTAACAGGCCTGGATTTCTAGCCATGTACCTTTCTTGTGTGCATAACATGCCATGGTCTAATCTGTACCATTGAATGAATCGCTGCATAAGATAAGAACAAGCCAGCCAACTGTGAAATCTACACCCACATTTCTGATGACGACCAAATGCTGATATTGAACTGATGTGTCCCCTTCAATGCCTAACTTTTCCTCAGTTTTTTAAAACTTGGGAAGCGTATTGTAACTGCAGTCAAGTTTGTCCTGTGTTTTCACTGAGTGTTCTTGCTTTGTTCTCTGGTCCTTGGGAATTTTATGCTTACACCTTGATAACTGTTAATGAGATCCTTTCCTAGGCTTTTGGTTCATCAGATGGAGGGTCCAACCACATGTGATGCAAGCATACGGTGTGGCTGGAGCTCAGCATATTGTTTAAAATGTATATAAAAAAGGCATGAGCTGGATTAGGGCTAGAATACAAAGGGAGGGGAGAAGGGTGGGTCTAGCATTTTGTTACGGTTTAAATCACAGCCTAAAATTTCTCTTACTCCTGAAAGTCAAACATCGAAGGTCAGGCTGTTAAGCCCAAATGGGCTCAATCTGGATTGACACTGGGGTCACCGTCCCCTTAATTCAAAGAGTAAGCCACCCAGCACACGCATATGCAGGTACATATTGCAGTCTGATCCTGATCTTGCCTACCATCCTCTGCTGCATTTGGTGGAATAAAAAGCTCTGAAAATGCTAATAATAGAACTCCCAAGATGTCATGTGTACTCAGAATGGCTGTTGCAGCTTCTTCTAAAGCTATTAACACAGCTTGTGATGTCCTATTTTATCTAGTGATTGCACGTATAATTAAGGAACCATTATTGGTTATTTCTTTACACTTTGTTTTGTTCATGTTTTCTACAGGGCTTGGAAGATTGCTCTCCAAGATGCCAGAACAAATGAGGTAACTTTTTGTTGTAGCTCTAATTATGTAGTGTTCAGATAAACACTCTTCTGTTTCTTTTGCTGTCTTCAGTACATCTTTGTTGCAAGAACCTCAGCCTGCATCTGCAGTTGAAGAAGGACTGACTGAGCAGGCTGACTTTAGGAAAGGGTTTTTTTTCCAGAAACAGCCCAATGGTGGCTTAGAGTTGTGTGCTGTGCTTCCAAAGGCAGCACTGAGTTACTGGGGAAAGCTTGGATTGTTGTTGAACATGACACAATTCATCATTGCTCTGACAGGCCATAACAATGAGCATCTGTTGGTTTCCTCCAACAGAGTGAATGCCAACTCATTGAAAGACTGTGATCATATTAACAGCTTTTAGAAATGCTTGTTGCAGTGCTAGATAAAAAAGGACTACTTAAATGCATGGAGGGGGGACTCTGGAAGGTTTCCTGTCCTATAAAGAGGTGATGTAGTGGAGAAGGTGATTTTAGGTTTCATGGAGAAAAAATGAAGTGCCACATTTCACACAGGGCCAGCTGTTGGAGAACCCAAAAGGAGAAATCTGTTTAGGAGCATCTGTTGCAATGGAATTCTCAGTGAGCTTGGCACTTAGCTTGTTCCTGGTTGTTTATCTAATTATAAGCCCTTGCAAAGACTATGGAAAGTGGACTGGCTGTGAGGGGATATTACACACTTCCTTGAGTAGACCAGTGGGGTTGACTAATTATTCATTTCTACCTTTGGGGGATGGAGACTGCAGGGCAACCTGGGTGAGAAGTAATAATAGCTTCTTTTGTAAAAGACCGATTACCTTTTTCCTTGCTGTAGCAGAAAAAGAGAAAAGGCAAGAAAATAGCCCTAGGCAGAGCTACATAGCAGGGGACTTCTTTATAAGCAATCTGTTATGAAATAAAAACAAAACCAGCCATGTTGGTTTTATATCTATCTGCATGAAGGCAAAAGGACTCAAACATGAATACTTGTTTGGGAAACTGGCAGCAGGTAAAAGTGTGTTTGTTTGCTTCCTTTTTACTGTTGGAGCTGACATGAGTGGGACAGGTTGGCCTCTTAAAAATAGCTCACTGTGCAACACAGTTAATTAAGCTTGTTTCCAGGATGCTGAAAGAGTGGGGTAGTTAAATAGACTTGCTATTTTCAGATCCCCTTTTTTGTAAGAAATTTGTTGCACAGGGATGCATTTTCTGCCACAATTGCTGGCTGCATGCGTTGGAAAAAATATAAGTCGCACTTTTCAGTGTTATAAAGCTGAGATGTATCGTGTTGGTGCAGGAGGTATGGCAATAGCTTTCTTGGAGGAATCCCCTTGTCCAGAAATCCTAATTAGCAAAATGTCATTTATGATGGCAAAAACAGAAATATATGTGCATAGGAGACAAACATGCAATATGCCTATATTTTTCAAGCTGACCTGTGATTGTTGCAGTTTCAGGCTGGGACTAAATTCTCACCCCCACAAAAACAAACTTGGCACCCCATTTGTAGCTGAGCAGTTGGAGAGAGCATGTTCTTAAAGACAGTCCGGACACTTCAGCTGGTGTAAAACGGAGTGGCATGATTGTTGGTGCGACTTGGTTCATGCACCCATGTTATCCCAATACTTTACCAATGACTTTGGTTACCAGTTGAGCTCCTGACCCAATTTAAGCTGCTTGTCTTAATATATAAAGCCTAAACAGCTTGAAACCAGGATACCTGAAGGACTGCCCACTTCCATATGTACCTCCCCAACCCCTGAGGTCAGGTTTGGAGGCCCTTCTGAAAGAGGCATCCTCCAAGGAGGTAAAGAGATTGGTGAACAGAAAAGGGGCCTTCTCAATAGTTGCCTCCCACCTGTGGAATAGCTTCCCAAGAGTAGTTCACCTGGCACCTTCATTGCAAGCTTTTTGGCACTAGGCAAAAACAGTACTATTCTCTAGGCAGTTTAATAATTGAGTTTTATTTTGTATGTTTTTGGCCCACCAACCTTCCAGTTTTAGGGATCTGAACCTGCCTCCTCCCGAGTCTGAGAATGAAAGATAGCAGAATCAAAACTTGGCTTGTCTCTAGCATAGTGTTATTTTCTCCCACATAATTCAGTGCAAGCCAGTAAGAACTTGGCCTGGCCCGATTTTCTCTACTAGCTCTGGTCCCACTCAGTGGCATGTAGCTTGTGAGGGCACCACCTTGGCTACAGAAAGGATCTTTACCCCTAGTCAGGGTGGATGCCTAGTTCAGAAATCTTACAGAGATCTTGTCCTTGTTACTTGCTTGGTGTGCCTGGAAGAAGGGCATCCCCAGGTAAATGGACAAGTAGCTGCACTGGCTTCTGCTCATATGCTCATGTTTTGGCTGTTGTATCCTTTCCTGGAGTCAGACAAATGTGCTGTGGGGCTGGTACAAATCTCTATTTAGAAACATAGAAACAGAGCGAGTTAGAAGGGTTCTCCCAAGCCATCTAGTCTGACCCCCAGCTCCAGCCAGCTCTGCTCATGACATGGCTACCATGTTCATGTTGCTGGTCTGGTTGTCCAAGAAATGCTGCCCTGCAGTGCTTGTTTTTTCATCACTTCTGCTATTCTACTTCAGCCTTAATCTTTGAAAGCAGGGTTGGTGAGCCTCTGGGGGCCAGAATGAACCCTTTGCATGGACTAGATGATAGCAGGGACTTCCTAATGCCTTCAGGTCCTTGGCTAAAGCACCAGGTGGAGCTCCTCCTGTTGGCAGCTCTGCCCAAAAACCCTCTTTAGAGCTCCGGCTGAGCAGTGGTCCTATTTCCTTTCACCTTCCCTTCCTGGAAAGGCAAGGGAGAAACAAAGCACCTGAGGAGCAGCTCAGCCACTCTCCCTTCCTCTCTCCCCACTGGGTGGAAAGGGCCTTCTATGAAGCTCTGTGGGCCAGCTGGCCTGGCCTGGTGGGCCTAATTTGGGCAGCAGCTCTGAGGTTCCCCTGCCCTACTCAGCTGGGAGAACAAACCAGGCTCACTCAGTGGTGCTCTTTGCAGGCTGGGTAGAAGCTGTATGGGGCTGCTGACCCGTGTCTGCAAAGCCATCTCGCTGCGGTGTGCTCCAGAAAATGGAAGTGGTGTTGCTGGGCTCCACATCACGTGTTCAGCTTGAGCAGGAGAATAATGCCTTTGCGTGCTAAAGCAAATGGAGCTGCTGGAGAGTTAGTGGAAGAAAGAGTATCGACACACTTGAGCTTGGGAATGCTGTTTTTTGTTTTTGCTACAAAACCTGGCCTCTTTACTTCCTGAATTCTTCAATTATTTGTTTCACGTGCTCTTCCCGTGTTTCATCTTTCCTGGCTTTGAATAGAGGGCAAAACTCTTCAAAAAAGATACACTTCTGTGTTTTTTTCAGCAATGATTATTAAGTATCCCATTGAAGCATTACTGATCTGTAATGCTATTTCAAAGGTCAACATGTAATGTGCCAAAGAGATGTGAACTTCACTTCTGTTATAAAACCCTAGTGCCCACCCCCTCAGCTGAGTTTGTCATTTGAAAGACTGAGCAACTGTTGTTGTATTTTTCAAATTTTTGTGTCTAGGCCTATATCGGTTCTGAAGTGATGTATGACGACAATGCGATTTCCTCAGCTCCTCCTCCATATACTGCTTATGCTACTCCATCATCCGAGGTGGGTTGTAAAATATGATATGTAAAGAAAGGGTGAATAGAAAGGGAGGTGTGAAGTCTTGGAATTTTGTAATGTTGTTTATGCCTGAGACTTGATGACAACCTCAGCCGTCATGAAGTAGAAGGTGGTGTTTTGGATTTGAATTGGTGATGCTGGGAAGCTTGCTATTTGTGTTAGGTGCAGTGCATTATGTCCTCTGTTCCTAGTTGCAAAAGAGTTTGCAAGAGAGGTTTAAATCCCATCTTTTATCACAGCACTGCCCATTGCAGAGGTATTCTTTAAACTGTGAGCCATAAAAATAACAATACTTGCAACTTAGAGGAATGAATTCGTTTTACTTTTATTTATTATTAAATGTATACACTACTCTTTTCCTTTTGGAAGAAATACAAGGAGGCTTTTATAAGCTCCTCACCTTTTTATCATTGCTGTAACTCTGTGAGGTAGGCTAGGCTGTGAGTTGGTGATTAGCCCAAAGTCACGCTATGAGCTCCATGACCAAGTGCAGACTAGAACCTGCATCACCCAAGACCAAGTCCACTATGTAACAGTGGTTGGCTGCTCTTTTAAGTGCAAAAAGAACCCTCAGATATTCTTTGTCACATGTACAGTCCTAACAGATGTTTGTAATCTCATCAGGTTTATGGCTACCCACAATACAGTGGTGCATATCCACCTCCAGGGACTCAGATCATCTATTCTTCCAATGGACAGACATACACCATCCCTTACCAATATCCAAACCAAGGTAATTTGCACTGTTCATTTTTCTCTTACTGGACTAGACTAGTGCCTTTGCAGAACTTTGCAGGCTGGAATTATATGATATTTTTTGTAAACAACTGTGCGGTGTTTTGTTCTGCTTTTTTACTTTACAATAAATGAATACAGGGAATAATGTATCCCATCAATCCTCCTTCCCAGAGTACATAGGCTGCATTTGGTTCCACTCTTCCTCCTTAGCCCAACGATAAAATTGTAGCGCCAATCACTCTGAACAAGGAAATAGAAGAAAGTTCCATATGATGCCAGAACGCTAAATAATACTAATAGAATTCTAATCTTCTAATAATATATTCAAAACATAGAAGGGATATATGCATTACTAGTACATCTGTTCTATATAAGAGGTTTTGTCTGCAACTTATGTACACTTACTTGGAAGTAGGTCCTATTAAATGCAATGGAGCATATTTATGAGTAGGATTGCATCACTGAACATCTGTTTCTGCTGTCTTGTAGCAGGAAATCAGGGCTGCAGCTGGTTATGGTCATAATATACCCATGCGTTTGTAAATAATGAAAATGTTGTGCTGATATTCCCACACATTAAGTGTTTGAGCATTCTTGCAGTGTTAGCAGCTGACACGTGAAGAAATTGGAGCATGAGTCCTCTGTTTCTAATTGGATTATCAGTGCCCAGATTATTTAATGGTACTAGATCATTATAATATGATAAGGCAAAGATGTTTGATCAACTATTAGGTCTAATGAGCTGCATGACTTGCAGACTGCATGCAGCCCTCCCCGCCCCCAAGAAAACTGGATTTTTTTAAAAAAGCCACAGCATACCAAAATTAGCTTGTTTGCAAACTAAGCATTACCTGTTTAGCATTCAGTGTCCACCACAGTTAATATTTAAACGTATATGTATGTATGCCCCCTAGACCTTATGCAGATGCCTGTCCTTGAAGTATGAGGACTGATCGTATCCAGATGTGATACCTCTGACCTCCTAAACCACATTTTGGGGATCAGGAAAAAGCTGTATGTGCATGTATTCCCTTAGAGAATGTGATGTATGAAGTGCAGCCACTCTCTCTATTAGTCTTTCATGACCTCAGTGTGTGCGTGTGCGCACATGTGAAGCAGGTTTCATGTTCTGCAGCATGAAAGTATTTGCTGTTATGAGCACAGAGATCTATCCTACACTAACTGCAAGACTAGGCTTACCTCTCCTTTGTAAGGTATAAGTATAGAATGACGTAGCCTCCCAAATTTAAGGGGATCATGCATTCCTTAGAGAATGAAAAGTCAGTAGAAAGAAAGATGCTATTTCAAGTTGAATTCATATATACCGCATGGTGTTCTTCTTTCTAGGTCCCTATTTTCCTCCTGCAAATCATGTCATCATCCGAGAACGTTACCGGGATAATGATGGAGATCTGGCCCTGGGCATGCTTGCCGGAGCAGCCACAGGAATGGCCCTGGGCTCCCTGTTCTGGGTCTTCTAGGTTTCTTCTGGAGCAACAAGATGATGGAGATCCAAAATCTTTTGTGTGCAATAATACATACATTTGCAAAATACTCCAGTTCAATCTACAGATTTTTAATAAGTTCTAGTAATACTTTTGCTAGTGACATTCTGGATTTGTAGTTAACAAAATTCTTAACTATCCCAAAGGTGCACTTTAGCTGAAAAGCAGTTAGCATAATAGCTTATGGTCAGGTGAATTTGTCATATTCTGCATTGATAAGGAAGTAGTTATAATATCAATGAAGTGTTGCTAATGAAGGTTAAATGGCTACAGTTGACTTATTTTAACAGTCAACCATCTTGTTAAAATTACTTCAGCTGCTGCCTCAGAATGCTAACCGCAACACAGGGTAGCATAGAAGTAGTTACTTCTGAATCTGAGATGTTTGAACCTGTTCTTTTCTTAACACTCTGTGAAGGCAACATTGGCGGTTTAGTGGAAACTCCAGGAAGGTTTTAATTCAGGGAGGTCTTGCATTTCAATGACTGCTTGGCTTGGCAAGGTATGCATATGTATCATCACAGCATTATTGTACAGGTCCGTCCTAAAGGGTAAGCAGTAGTGGGTCAGGAAGTTTTGTTTGTCCCCAAAGCATCATCATCCTTACTGGGAAGTTAGAAGGGGGGTTGATTACCATACAATCTGTTTCATTGTCCTTGGCAGTGCAACTCCATTTAACTGCTGGAGTAACAGAGTCTGGCTGTGAAAACCCTACCCAGTGCTATCATATTTGGTACAAATGTTCGTGACTTACTTTCTTTTTAAAAAAAACTGGTTTAGGTATATAGAAACTCTTGAAACAGAGAATTGGGGGCTAGGTCAGAGTGCATACATCTGCATATGCACTGCATACATCTTATCTTTGACTAAATATTTCTATACACTTTCCAGGCATGCTACAGAGAGATCTATTCTGAGCTGTTAAGGTTGTTCTATTGGCAAGGTTCACTCTTTTGTTACTTGTTATTCCTTGAGCACCTTCATTTTCTGCTTCTGATGCTTGTACAGAATCCTATAAGAAAGAAGCACATACATACACCAAGAGATCTCTTTTCCAGTGGTACAGGGTGTTCAAGCATTAGTCTTAATCAAAAAAATAGATAGTTTATGTACAGTGCTCATGCGTCCTGTTGAAATCTGAGACATGCCGACAACTCTTCAGTGTGTCTTTGGTCTGTGCGAAATGGCTAACAGCAGCAGATGGGAAAGATCTCGTTCTTGCCCCTTGATGTAATGGCAAGTGCTAACACAACACAGGTTCCTTTTGGAATGAAATATATTACTATGGGGAAGGTAAAGCCGGGTGATGACACTGGACATCTTAATACTGGTTTCTGCAGGCCATGTATTAAGTCTATGCCACGGATTGTCTTGTGGTGGTCTGCTGCAGCAATTGAAACTTGAGAAGGAGACCATGGTTGTGTCCAGCATCCTCTGAATTTGAAAATGTGGGGTTTATTCAGATAGTCTCCCCAGGTGAGACCCTTGCTGATGGGGTCCCTTCGTAAAGACAATCTAGAGCATTTGAAATGGTAGTACTGTGACCTGAAGAACATGTGACTTGAAGATATTTAAGTGTTCCATAGTTCTGGATCCCTAATTTAATTTCCCTGTAAGCATGTTGGAAGCCTTTATGTTATTGACCAAGTGATCATTTAATAAAAATCCGTACTATTTCTGCTCTTTTTTTGTAATTTGTCTAGTACAATTTTAAGAATCCATCTCTTTCTGCTACTGTGTGTACTCTACAGAATTCCCTGAAATTCCTACTTTCTATGTATTTGTACTTTGTGAGGAAAGAATGAAATAAATTTAGTCCCGGAACTGCTGGTGAATTAGCACTGTATGTCTTGCTGGTATGTCTAGCTAATTATGATCAGGGTTGCTACAACTGCGGCTTCTCTTGTTATGAGTTGAAAATATGCAAATCTGCATTTTAGGTGAACATTTGAGCGATGTACTCTGCTATCACTTGGACCTAAAATGAACAGGACAGGACAGTTGTCTGCTAGCCGGATCTTAAAGCAGACCAGCGCAACTGGGCGATCAGAAGTAGTTCAACTGCTCAGACAAATGTATGGAGTTAGCTGCAGCAGCAAATACAGTTGCTGTATAGGAGGCATGCAGATTAATCTTACGGTGGTTCAGAGGGTGGGGAAGAGCCTGTTGCAGAGGAAAGGCCACTGTGATGATGCTGCCCAGGGCAGCAGTCGCTGATGCTGGGTGGCTCTTTCCCTTTTTTCTCGATTTTCCTTCAGTTTCCCCCTCTCCTAGGTTTTGGTGGAAGGAAAAGTAACTCTGCTGTGTCTGAGGCTGGTGTAGATTCCATTGCTCCAGGGCTGTCTCCATAAAAGAGATGCAGGGGATCCAAAACAAACCGTGATGTGCCTCCTGACCCCAAACACCCATCTTTGCAGCTGCTTGGGGAACAGGAAACCCTCAGTATGCTATGGCTCCTGTCCCAGGACAGTCACAGGACTTACACCTAATGCTTTAGCTTTTATGGTAACGAAGCAAAATCCTGCCAAAAAAATTTGAAAGTTTCAGGAAGGGTTCTAACTGCTTAGAGACTTAGTTCTTGGAGCAATATATAATGGCAATTTAAGAAACAAGGTGCAACATCGAATACTTTCTATTAAGATTTGCTATCAGGAAAAGAAGGTGGCATAGTCTGCAATGCTTTCTTTTAGGACCCACTCCTCTGGGGATGTACTGTAAGTGCTTGTCATGATACATTTAATACATTACCTTAAATGATACCAGGAAGGAAAGATACTAGAAATAATACCAAGTTGTGAATCTTCTCTCTCCAAAGCCTCTCATTAAGCAGTGTCTTTTGGGTCTTGAAGCCAACGAGCTGAGAAATTCTAACAATAACCCATATTAATCTCTTCCATGATACAAAGGAACATCAAGGCATAAACGGTCTATGGGAATCATTAACTACTTTCTTTACATACAGATTGCCCTCTTATCCAGCATATCAAATCAAGAGTATGCATAGCTAAATATGTTGTGCCACAAATGCTCTGAAATAGCCCCATGGCTTTCATAATGGTCCTGTTTGCACACTCATGGAGGGAAAAAGAAGCCACATTGGCATATTTCCCCAGCTGTGCCTGCCAGTCACAACCAGTTAATTGTTTTATTGACTCCAAGTCAACGAACCAGATAAATACTTGCAGAATGTCTCACCTTCAGGTTTTGAGGTGAAAATAAGCCTTTTACGAGTTCTCCGGCAGCGGTGGGGCCTGAGCTCCAAACAGCAGATCACTCTTTGAACCTGCTGTGTTGTGCTCCATACCCATTTCACAAGACAAAGTATCGAAGTTCAAAGACCAGTAACTTGGTCAGGAAATTGACCAAGAGGTGGGATCTGACACTCAATGCGGTATCGCATACGTGCCTTCGCAAAGCACAACAAAACATCCGTTTCAAAGAAGGTAAACTTGTGATACTCAATTACGCACAGAAAAAGAACTTCCAAGCACAGCATGAAAACCCAGGCAAAACACTTTTTGCTTCTATCCCAGGACAGGATATGCACGTGCAAAATTCCAGGTAAAGCACAGACTCTGAAAACAATGCACAAAACACCTCTCTCTGCCCCCAGGATGCTTTGAGCCCTCCCAGACACGTCCACCACTCCTTGGCTTTCCTTCTGGGTGCCAGAAGCATTCTTGGAAGACAAATGTAATTAATTTCATTATAAAATTTCATTGTATATAAAACATTCAGAAACAATCAGCAAGAGCACTGGATTGGGGAGCACCATCTGATTAAAAAGTCATGCCTTGATTCAGGTGGAAAAAAAGATATATGCATATTTTCTCTTGGGCAAAAGTCCAATCCATGGTTTGAGACTGCACAGTGGGTTGGGGTGCTAATTAGTTAAACAGATGATACTAATGATGTGGGAGAGGAAAAGGAGAGCCTGTATTTAGCCTTTTCATGTCTCAGTTGAGATGATCAACACTGTCAAGCATAACTGCACTGGCCATCTGCTGATAGCTAGCAAACTGCCTTTCCCTGTATATACCCAGCTGGCCTTTTAAGATTTCCCGAGGAGGCCTTGCTCATTGCTCTGCAATTAACACTGTCCCCATGTGATACCTCGATGGCAGACTTTCTTGGGGGTGGTGCCCACCCTCTCGAAAATCCTCCCTTCTGCAGTTTGAGTGGCAGAAAATGTGACAGGTTTTCAAAACCTGAAAACACACTTGTTCTCCCAGGCTTGGAACGTAATTAGAGTTTCTATTACACTGGCTCCATTTTACTGCTACTTGTATTATTATCATTGGGTTTACAATTGTTTTGGACAGTGCATTTAAAATGTGCTAGCGATATTTATAGATGTACCACTTAGGGATTGTATTGTATTGTGCAATGCAGAACTATTACAAATAAATATATTAGTTGAGACTTGAAAAGCAACAGACGGGCCTACATGAAGCAGTGCATGTGTATTTTTGGATTTGGGCCATGGAAATTAAATGGATTGATAAAGCATATATGGATCTTTTGTCATCTGCCAAAAGATAGGTGCACTGAAATTATCATCTGCACCTCTGATACTAGTTTCCAGGCAGTCTAATACTGTGATTGCTTGTTCTGGATTATTGCTTGATATCCCCTCTGAATGTTAAACTCATGTGGCAGTACAAGGATGTTTAGAAGTTACGGTATATCACATTATCATAGCATTCCATTTCTGTTAAATAGTCTGCTAAGTGATCATATCACATGGGAATCTTGCATTGGACCCACATTTCAAGAATAATGAATATTTGTATATTCTTAAGAATAACCATTTTATGCTTGAATTAAAGTACCTATGTTCTGTTCAATAGTTGTGCATAGGAAGAAAGAATCACTGAAATAGTGGCCATCTGTGTTTTGACAGAGTTTGTGCCACTGCTGAATGATATCATTTGAAGTTGGATTAGCATCTGCATTCCCTTTTTTCTGGATAAGAACAGTGTCAGGAACCACTAGATGGCAAGCAAAACCAAGCAATGTTGACAGCATCACAATGCTTTCAGTAGTGTTTCATCTGTGGCTTTCCTGTATTTCATATATTTAGCAAAGATTTTTTAGTAGTTCATCCATTTACTTTCTAGAGCAAGTAAATAGAAGCAAGTAAATAGAATACAGTATAAGATCACAAATTCTGACTTTTATGGTGTCAGGTAAAAATCAATGTAACACAATTTTGTATTGGATAGTGACTTTATGGAGATAAATAATATTATTTTGGAGTTATCATACAAGCAGATGACAAAGCTACTAAGAAAACAAAGAGGGAAGAGAAGATTTTGGATAGAAGAGAGAATTGAGATGTTAACATGCACACACAGCCAGAATAAAGTTGTCTGAATTACAGTTAAGCTTGGGGACAACTTATGCAATGACAAAAATATGCCATAATATGCCATATGTTGTATATGCCATAAAATTACCAATTATTTAGTTGCATAAACAATGGCATAAATAATCCCTATTATAATTGAAACAGTGCTTCTTCTGACAGTGCCGAAGATTGTGTCCCTGTGACCCCAAATTGCTGTCCAGATGTTGCTGATTTCCTTCAAGGTTCTTGGTTCCCCTTCTTATTGTTCTTTATCTCTGAACAGTTTGGACTGGACAGCCCTTCAAATGGAAGATACTTTCAAATAGCGGATTGTCCTCTGTAAAACAGGTCGTGGCTATTCTGTTGCCATGATGATCCCAGAAAGTTAAAGAAACAGCCAAAGCTCGGTGAAATAATCATAAGGTCTAAGGTCACAATCCTAAGACAGGAGGGGGAAAAATCCTACAACTTTTAGCACAAGTCCTGGGTATCGGAGGACATTATTCTGTTTAAACATACAAAGGAATGTGCCTTAAGCATCTGAACTGTAATTAGGCTGTACAGTAGACCAAACAAGATAAGAAGCAGCACTCCGGAGGAGACTCAGGGTGATGCAGTGGACAGAGTGTTGGACTTCAGCCAGGAAGACCTCCCTTCATCCATACATCTTCTGAGATGATCTTGAGCCGCTTAGTTCTGGAGATGGGAGAAATGAGTTTGGCTCATATTTTGAAGTGAACTTACCTAAGTTTCACTCCTGAACTATTATGCAAACCCAGATTTAATTTTCCTTACAAATTTACTTTTCTGAATTTTACAGTGGACTTCTATCAAAAAAATTCATGCAACAATGCATATATATTAAATGAGGAGAATTGTTTGCAAAAATGCCTACACAAAGACATGTAGGGGGAATGTGCACAAAAATACATCAGTGTTCATATAAATGTGTTAAACATTCTCAAAGTTCGTAATGAACTGTACTTAGGACTGGAGAAATTCTCAGTGTTTGAGTTGACCTAGGAATAGGAAAAATGAGAACATGGGAGAATCCCAAATTGGCAAAGTTCTTGCATCCCTGCTTATTACATTAGTCTAATTTCCCTCAGATTTGAGCAGGGGGCAGAGAAATCCTATGACCACTAGACAGAGTCTAGGACTGCTATAATCCCCAGCTACAATGTCAAAAAAGCACACTAATCTCACAGATGGGGATTCACATCTGGATCCCCCTCCCCTTTGCAGCAGGTATGAAAAGAACCATGCTGGCTGCATCCCTGAGGTTGTAACAGCAACTTCAGAGAAAGGCTTTTGGGGTCATTCCAGGGGACAGAAAGGGGAAGAGACTAGGGCTGCCAAGATGGGATGGGTGGTGTTCAGCTGCTTCCCCTCCTGTGCTGAGCTGCCACACTTGGATGGCTGAAATTCATCATCGTATGTGTTCAGCCAGGTGAGAATGCAGAGGTGACTTTTG